TATGGATGGATGTTTGTTACTCTTTCACGCAAATACTACTGAATGGATTTTGATGAAACTTCAAAATAATATAGCTTATACATCAGTATAAGACATAGGCTATAATTTATATACATATTATCCTTTAGACGTGCGTAGATTCGCGGGCGAAAAATCGATCTAGCTAGGTTTCATTTTTAGAAAATGTCCTCTTATGCCTGTTTTCAGGGAATGAAAAAAATCATTGGAAATTTCGCCGCAAAAAAAAAGTACCGCGGTCGGTAAACGGGCGGCCCCAAAACAGACGGCCGTGGTTCGTATCACGATCATTTACACACTTATTTTTTCACATTTTTTTCGATTCCAGATCATTGCTTTCTTTATTTTTGTCGATTTGTTATTTTGTTATTTTTTTCCCTTTTTTTTAAAGTTCTTTCTTTTGTGAAAAACACCAGTTCATATTTTCTTATTATTTCGTCGGTAAGATCGAAAAATATTATGCATATAAATTTATTATTCAGTAATTTGTATCTAAATGTAATTCCCAAAATACATGATTTACAAAAAAAAAAAAAAACAAACCGAGCAAAGCTCGGTCCTCCAGGTACTTTTAATTTATATCAGTCTTTCTGTCTGAATGTTACGCTTTCAGCCTATTCTACGAGGAGTTGTCGCTGTAGTTTTAAATTCATTTAATCTTAATACAAAAAGTAATCTCTAATTGCATTACTGCTACGTTTAGTAACTAGCTCGATGAAGAGTGACATGTTATACTCACCGAGCAGCAATGATATTATACACAAATAAGATGTAGATATGACACTCATGACAATAATGAAACTTTACAATAATATAGCTTATACATCAGAATAACACATAGGCTATAATTTATATACATATTTTTATGTATATCTGTCTCTCTGCCTGAATGTTACGCCTTCAGCCTAATCCACGCAGACGTAGTCGCGGGCAGCAGCTAGTCTTCTATATACTAATACGTGAAACAAAAACTTTGTACCCCTTTTTATGAAAATTACGCGGACGGAGGAGTATGAAACTTCCCACAATTATAGTTTTTACAAAAGAGGAGTGAGAGCTAACATTTTTTAATTATGCATAAAAACTATTAAGGCAATAAAAAAAAAACATTACACACTCTAAATTGCATTATGGTCGAATTTCGTCCACTAGTCTATTTTATTAAACGTCATTGGTGAGTACAGCGAGAAATTGCACATTGCACGACCATAAAGTAATATCTGGTGTGTTGCCAAATCGATAGCGATAGCCTAGGGTTCGGCGTCATTGTTATTAAACTTTGCTTTTTAACGATAATGTTATCGGAAAGAAAGTCTTTTTTCTCTTTTTTCTTTGAGCGAATTCATAAATATAAATCATGGGTTCCGTTATTTTGATCAATTATTTTCACCAGTTCGACCGTAAATCATTAATAATTGATCTATATATAAAACATCAAAAATTTTGAATCTAATAAATTATTACTTATCTCCGACTCATTCATTGAGATGCTTGTGCGGTGGTGCAATACTATACATATATATATATATATATATATATATATATATATATATATATATATATATATGTATGTATATATGTATCTATAATAAAAAGCGTAGATTTAGAGAGTATCATAGATTTGAACCGAAATATATCACTATATAGTATAAAATGGTCCCGCTGTCTGTCTCTATGTATGCTTAGATCTTTAAAACTACGCAATGGATATTGATGTGTTTTTTTTACTAAATAGAGTGATTCAAGAGGAAGGTTTATATGTATTATAAATTGCACCCGTGCGAAGCCAGGTAGGGTTGCTAGTATTGAGATAAAAAGAGGATCTATATATTAAGCAATAAAAACTAAAAGCTGCACTCAGTTACACTTATTAGGAGAGTAGTTACCGAGGTGGGCATTAAATTACTTTCGTTTTCAAACGGAGTCTAGTATTTAGAACAGAAGTTTATATACAAATTATTCGTTGCACACAAATGTTGTAACGTGCTCGAAGCAAGTGACAAGTGAACATTTTCGCCGTTCTGTGGCCAAAAAGGTTCATCGTAATTAATCTTTGGACAAGAGGTCTGATGTACACTGCAATCGAGGGACCCTAAAAGCAACTGACGTTCTTGAATGCACAAAGGACGCTCGGGTCGTAACCGCTGATGACCGCGCAAGGTCGCCGCAGTAAAAACGATCTTGCTACCGTGGATATTACGAATTGCGAATAAAAATAATGAAACACGATTATTCTGATTTTGCCATGTCTTTAGACACTTTGGCAATGTTTCTTCGCGACAAGACGTAGCAATGCAGTGGTTGATGCGTCGATGTGAAGTAAAGTAACAGCCTATATATATATCCCACTGCTGAGCAAACCTCTTCGGTACAGAGGGTATTTATTAGTCCATCACTCGGCCCCACTGCGGATTGGCGGACTTCACATATCTTTGAAATATTTTTTTTGTTACTATTTCGAGAATATGCCTTGAGTCGATATCTCGGCGAGGGGCAGTGCTGATACGAGTCTCTTACAAATTTTTCAAATTTTTTCAATTTCATTTTAATTTTTTCGTGTTTTTCAATTTTTTTCATGCCGTATCACGTTGTCTTTTGCATCGACTATGGATTGGATGTTTTAATGGGAAAAGGTGGCAACCAATCAATCTGTTCAACATATAAGTGTTACCCACGAACATCAACAAGACGCTTATTGTATTAGTATCGTGGAGGAAAATGCACGCAGCACTCTGCATAAAGGCATCCCCATTCTCGTTCTGGGCTGGTCATTTAGGTCGCCGCCAAAGGCCCCACGATGTTCCACCGAGTGTGCATATAGGCTTGGTCACGGGAACGCTTTCACACATCCCAAATCCCGTCAGGCTTTAGCTAGCAGTTTCTCATCGCCCAAAAGCCTTCCTACTTTGCACTTTTTAGCCACAACAACTCAGTTATTGTTGTCTAACTGTAGCACCGTTTATCGAGCCACGTGCAAGACTGATAAATACTTACTACTGATACTAAGTTTCGGCCGTTTTCAGCTGTGGTACTTCCCGAGACAAGTCATCTTAATCATTGAAACTATAACCTGCCTCGTGGCTCTAACACATAAATCGTGGCGAGTGACGATAGGAATTATGTTAAAATAACCGTTGTTTCAGGCACAGTTCTTAGACTTGTATTATTTCATGGTAATTTTGTGGTAATAACGTACAATTATATAATACCATTACTCGGCGTTGCAATACCGCATGAAAAAAAACAAGTGCTTGCTAATATTGCTTTCAGATTTATTCTATTAGCCGCGACGCGAAGAAATATAACCATCGACAAATTCTTTATTGCACATGTAACATTATTTGAAATTACCCTACTAGCGACAAATTAATACATCCATTAACACACACAGGTATTTTTTTTTTAAATAACACCTATTGTTTCTAACTAACAATTGTTCCTAATGTTAATTCTATGTCTCCTCATACAACATTGTTAATTTAATTGCATTGTTAATTTAATTGCTTTAAAACTATTTTTTCATACATTGCTGTCTTGCAACTATTGTTAAAGAATGATTTCATTGAATGGTTTTTCAGGTATTAAAAAATTGTTGTTAACCTTTCTTTACGATTTATTTTGTAGTAAACATAATTTTTTGAAGTGTGTCATGTATGTTTGTATTTTATTGAATTCCTTGATAATACGAATGTATTCGTCAATAGAATTAGTAGAAAATTTTCTACTAGCTTTTAGAGCTTTTATTGCGTAACCATTTCAAAATCATTAAATAGTATACTAGCGACCCGCCCCGGCTTCGCAATGCTGAATATTTGATTTCGCCATTAGAAATCTCTAAAATTATCAGCGTTTCTCCACTATATTATGCATGAATTATACATATAAACCTGCATCTTGAATCAGTCTATCTATTAAAAAAAAACCGCATCAAAATCCGTTGCGTAGTTTTAATAGATCTTTAAGCATACATAGGGACAGACAGACAGCGGGAAGACTTTGTTTTATACTATGTAGTGAAAACAAAGTCGCTCGGATTGTTTGTATATGTATATTGATCTTTTAAACCACGTAACGGATTTTAATGCAGTTTTCAGCAATAGATGGATTGATTCAAAAAGTTTTATATGCACATTGCACCAGTGTAAAGCCGGCTTTGCCTCACCAGCGAGTGAGTTATAAAACAAATGCTCGCCTAAAATCGATTACTAATTAATATTAGCGTAACATAAAATGTTGGATTTAATAAAACTAACTTACAGACTCATGAGACAGAGACATGGTTACGTAACATAGAAACCGAGCCTGTCCTGTGATTATGGGTTCTGTAGTGTGAAATTAAAACCAAAATTAAATCAAGAAAATGGTCGTTAATTAGTAGTACATAACAATGCGCAGTATTCGCGTAAACACAAGTAATTACTCAACGACATTTTTTTTTTCATATAAATGTATTTTGAAATTCATTATTTCGAATTTTCTATGCTGACACGCCAAAATTCGCGTTCAAGAATTATATCTATACTGCCATTATATTAACTGTTCATTTCCTAATCCACTTTGCGACCGCATTGTTTACGATATAACTTAAAAAAAACACACCGCGCCGAAAATTTAAATCACAATCTGTTCAATAATATTATATACAAATGCGAGATGGATATGACCCTAATGCACAGAAACTGAGGCACCCAAATTACGTTAAATGGTGTAATTATATTGCAACTGTATAGACTTCTATCTCTTTCCGTATCATACGTCCTAAATCATCCGTCACATTCACTTATATATGTCAGAAAATGTAAAAGCCCGTATCAGCCCACTGCTGGGCATAACCCTATCGCATCCACGTTTTTCCTGCGATCCCGCCCGCCCGATGGGTCGACGGCATCATGAAATTTAAAGCGGAACAATTTGTTAACGCCGCGCAGTATGCGTTTGATCTTTATTAAAACATCATCGAACCGGAAACGTTTCGCGCGCAGAACTGCGTCAGGCACCTGATATTCGTCGAGGAGCCGAAACGCAAGAGCACAGCGGACTGCGTGGACGAGCTGCGCCGCTCGCTGGACGTGTTGAACGCCAGCGTCAGCTCCCTCCGCGCCGAGATCCAGTCGAGCTCTAGCCAGAGCGCGTTACGCTTCCAGCTGGACAACCTGAAGACTGACATCGCTTCCGTCAAAGGCATCCTGCTCAATAGGTACGGTCTATCGTGTCGGTGTGAGTCGACTAATAGGTGTTATCTATCGTGTCTGTGTGAGTTGGCTAATAGGTATGATCTATCGTGTCTGTGTAATTCGTCCGGCTCCTATAGTTTTGTCGACCCTGGTCGTTCCCTTCTGTTTAAGTTCGACACGGCGTCTGTCAAAGGTGCGCTAAATGTGCTGTTATACCACGGTCTCATAGCCCCGACATGCCGTCGTTTAGAGCATCCCAACTCAGTCAATTGGTCGGCGCCAGTCAAGCCCTATCTTCTTTTTTTTATTTGCAATGATGGCAAGCGAGCTCATGGCTCAACATCAGGTGAACGGTGGTTCACCTGATGTTGAGCCATGTTAAGGACAACCGTATTGACACCTGCAACACTTTGCGTTGCCACCTTTTAATAAAATGGCCACGGCCACCTCACCCACCAGACGAAACGTAGAGGTGTAACACTTTCACTTCACGCCGGTCTTCTGTAATACTATAGATCGTGGTACTAACCCGGACGGACCTGCCCATTCGTGCAACAGCGAAATTTGTTGCGTGGCATAGTCCTCCAAAATAAATCTCTTCCAGCTAATCTTCGATATTGCCCACATTTTAATGAAGGTTATTGCTTAGCATTGGGACATTTTTATTTTTATTCAGCAAAGTGGCGAGACAATTTGGCCGTATCCGTCTTTCGCCTGTAGCAGCGGCCAATCTGCTTCGGGCGTCCGTGGCCGGCTGTGATCATGCACTGGGGAACATCTCGTTCAATCGTTCATTCGCCACATGAAACAAATACGTCGACGAGAACTCTACAGCGATCCGTATCGCATCACGCGTTGCCCACACCGCAGGAACCAGTTCCCCGCGCTCAAGGGGCGCACCGAGCCGCCGTCGATCCCCGCCTGGCAGCGCCACTCGGTCGAGGCCACCTCGACGGAGGCGGCGGAAGAGGAGAAGAAGAAACCCCACAGGAGTCGCAGCCAGCGCTCGGAGAGCGGCGGCTCCAACTCCAGCGAGGGGGAACAGGCCACGAAGAACAGCGACAGCAGCCTCGAGATCATGTGAGTGAGCCTTAGAGCGGCCCTCAGACCGCCAGACGTGAGTACGCCTTGACATCAGTGTAACATCTCGTAAGTGGATTTTCAGAACATTCAACAGCCAGAATCAAATAGGTGCAGACGGATCATGTCAGCGCTACAACATTCATATGACGTGTACGTTGAATTCTAAATCGATTTAGAAAACGTTTAGTAGAGTAGAGATCATGTGTCATATCTTCCTTAATGTCCGATTTAAACATTTGATCTATCTGCAGATTTAGTTACTAGAGATAGGCATTTGACATAACCTCCATAAAACTAACGTCAAAATTCCATCTCCAATGACCAAATCTTTCGATAGATAGAATATTGAAACCGGCTGTAAATCGTCTCTGTTAAGTGGTTAATTCTTTTGGAAACGGAAGTAGTCTTTAGTATGTTTAAGAAGATCCTAATTTCTAAACGCAACGACGGACCTTTGTATTATAGGGTTAGAGATAATATGATCAGTTAGGGATAATGTTAAAATTTTGAACAAAATACAATCAATCTTTTTATTCCTGGGCAGAGTCCTTTCTAACCTCTTTTTCTACCTTAAGTTTTCTCAAACGGGTTAGGAATATAATGAATGCATAATTTAGTGATACCTGTTCATAAACCTCGTTTTTCATTTCCATTCCAGCACATGAACCGGCCAGATGATCGAACGCCTTTTAAACGAATGCCTCATTTGACCAAAATCGCTTTGTGTGTGTGCGCGCGAGCGCTGATAATTTTGGCGGGAACTAGCACTTGACAGTTTACCAGAGACAAGACAATATTTGAAATGGGTCGTTGATAAACTGACTTTTTGGTGATTCTAAATGTACCTACCGGGACGAATTTGTCTATTGTATTCAACTTTGTTATTGATATGGATTTAAGGAGAAATAAAACTCCTACTTTGAAATCTGTTTATATGTGGTATTCGCATTAAAAAATTATAACGGAGATCACGGATACTGTGTTTACATTGGTTTTGCTTAGGTTCTAATTTAGCGTCTGTGATCAAAACAGGTTCAAAGGTCTTTATTATTATCTCCAGTCAAACCTTCAAATATGTGATTTGGTAATATGAAAGCAATTGTTATTGTCTTTATTTAATGTAATACTCCTGTAAATATAGAAATAAAAACTGGAAAACTGAAAGGATTTAACCTCGCCTTCAAGTACAAAGTTGGTCCATAAACAAATCGTTTTAATCAAATTGGTATTTAACATACAGAAATCATATATAGTGGCGATACTGATATACTTACATCATGTTATCTAGTTATGGTCAAATTACAAACAGGTATGCAAATTTGGTTGTATACTTACGTGTAAATATTGCTGCAGTTTTTCGTCTTGACTACTTTTTTGTATTTGTATTATAATATAATTGATATTACGAGTTATAGAGTTGCTGAACTACTTTCATTTTCTATAATTTTTTTTAATTTTGATGGGCCTCATAAACTCGAGGTAAATTGAGAAATCATTTTATAATATTGTGAATGTGTGTACTGCAAATTTAATTACACTTGTTTCATGAATACATTGTTGCATACACGTTATTAGTGAGGTAATTGGAAATACAGTAATTTGCCACAACGGTCAAAATTACAAAATATTACCATTTTCAAAGGTTACATAGATGGAACGCTTCCTTTACTAATCGCCTATTTTTGATGTAATAATAAAATCTTTTTTCATTAAATTGTGTAAATAAAAGGAAGGCGTCACTGACTATTTGTATTTCCTATAGTCGTCGATACGTTAGCCGTAAGCTTTTCGATTCATAATCGTAATGTTTGGAAATAATAGGTTTATTGTATGTATATAATATTTGGCTTTTGATTTTAATTGAAGTATTTTTTTTATCATTCGATATTTGGCAAATTGCTCAATAATGCCAACTATGCGCTTTGTATGTAATCGTGAATGTGTAATTTTATCATCACTTCTATTAATTCGTGTTAACATTAATAATAAATTATAGCTTTTGCAATACAAAAACAGCATTTCAATATTAACTGTATTTGAAAAAGGCGAAAGGATTACGGGCAGAGGAATAGTGTAATTTGTATATTTTTTATGTATAATTGTTTTATGTGTGTAATTATAGCCTCTACGGTATATCACCGGCTTATTGAATGACGGTGGAGTTGAATATGATTTGTAAATAACTTAAGACTTGATACAGTTGTTTTGACGAAACGAGCTCTCATGTTTATCAAACCTCTTTTGGTTTTATATTTCAAAAACAAAAAAAAGAGTAATTTAAATAAAGGAATTAACACATTGTTTCTTGAACGCTTGTAATTTGATTATTACGAAACTAAATATTGTAAGAAATACTTTTTCTTTGCCATCTTAATATTAGGTAGAAAACTTCCAAACACTTGCTCATGAATGTCCTCATCTAATGCTACGTCGTAAAGAATAGTGTAAGCATTCCAAAGCAATGTTAATAATAAAGTGGGTGATAAATAAACCAATGATAGACTAATTTAAAGTTTAATTTCCTTACCTGTTATATTCACTCGTAATTTTTGTATGGAGTATGGAAAACCATACAAAAATCGAAGCAGACTTCGCCTGTACTCTTAGGAAAAAATGGATTACAATCTATTATGGCATTAATTAAAATTCTTTTATTAATACATTATCATTATATAAGTATAATAATAAAAAAGAATAAATTATGAACAAATACTTTACAAGTATCATTTTCGAAACATTGTAAGTACTCCCATACATTCCAATGTTTTCTTTTGACCGTTTTCTGGGCGAGGCAAATTCTTTAAATTCACTTTCAAACATTAATAAATTTTCTCACTCTATTACATCTTCCTCCACTTTCGGAATACTTCGCTGCTCTAGAAACCTAAACGAATGGAATGTCTACTAGGGACACGGGGTCAAATGAAACGCACGACTATAATACCGTCTATATTACAAAAATACATCACAAGGTATATATATTGAGCTTAAGAGTCCTGTATAACTATAGAACACATCCACTCCGACAGTTCGGTTATGAGATCAACGAGGGGTTACAAATGTATCAACTTGAAGAATAACATCGATTGTGCCGCTTCATTTGTCGTTGCTTTTACGTCAACAGCAAAAACACAAGCATGCAAAACAAACATCACGACATACACCCAATGGGGGCAGACGGATTCAAAACGTCTAACACATCGGATTAGCCTCGAACCGGCGTGGCGAATATTTGTTTAAAATAAACTTAAATAAAAAAGTGTATGATATAAATTATAGTTACGTATTTCTGTATCTATTCAACGTGTCAACATTTATCGACCACTAAAACAACAATCAAAAAAAGCTATTTGTTCGTAATTGTAATTTGATCATTCAGTTGCAAACTGCTTGGGTTTTTTTTTTTGGGAATTGCGTTAAAAACATAAATGCGAAAGCTGTTCCACAATAATAATTCATACAAACAACAAACTTCGATATAAAAAGTCTTTTGTTTTTGCCTCATAAGTCATACCATTCCATAAAGTCGATGGAAACAAAAGATTTTCAATAACAACTTCAACTCGTCAACCTCCAAACGTGGAATGCCCTTTAAATTTTTCGCAAGAATATTACTTTTCTCACGAGTTTGGTGTGAAACATGTACAGCAACGTTCGCGCCGCGACAAACAAAGCGACTACGAATATAAAAATTTTTTTTTTTCATTTTCACACGTCATATTTCTTATGGAACATCAGTTGAAGGACACCTATCATTGTTTTAGACCACACTCCAACTCGGTAAAGTTCCAATTTAATTTTCCGTGCTTATGTCAAGAAAATGTCACTATTTTTTTTAATTTATAGCTAGCAAGTGACAGTTGCTAGTATTTTCTAGATCTTTTATATTTCATTAGTTATTTTTGTCTTAAGTTTAAAAGACTCGAAACACCAAAAAACTTACACGGTTGAGCGTGGCCTAATACGATTATGCATATTTTAACCGTTTAAAATAATCTTGACCACACTAAAAACGGTCAGACATTATAACACGCCCTATATCAAAATGTAAAATCCTAATAACATTTCGTATAACGGGGCGGGAGAAAAACACCTTTAGAATAAATTTTGTCTCGAAGGTGTTGCCATTCAAAAGTTTGAAAAAAGATGTTGAGAAAAATAGGTGTGAAAATAGTGTAACTTTTTTTTTGGCTTACACAAATATAATATATTTTTTTCATTATATAAGCAATCATAACTATCAAGATAGATAATAGGAGTTACAATTACAACAATTTATAAATAACCACAAAAATATCTTTGATAATAATAATTGGTGGAGTATGCATTCGCATACTGGGCATGCAATGCCATTTTCCATAAAAACACTTACTTTTAAGATACATTTGATAAGTTCCTTTAAGGAGCGCCAATACAACACGATAAAGTCATCGCGTATAATTCGGCAGATGTCGACACACGAAATTTAGTACAATATACCGAAAGCCAGGATTATAAATGCCTATGTATTTTCTTTGAAAAAAAAAAGCTAGATAGCTTCGCTTGTTAATTTCCCTTTATATAACGGAATGCTGTGACAGCCCATCGAAGGGTGTCCAAACGATTTCCGATTGGCAAAGACGTAACGATACAATACCCGATCTCTACGCAGGAGCCTACAGGAGCACCTTCTTCTCGTTCCAGTTCTTCTCGCACTTTATCACGACGTCGTCCCTTTTGGCGGTGAGCAGTTTCTTAGCGCGCGTTAGGTCCTCCACCAGACATTTCCCCTTCTCGGTCCTCATCAGCTGCCTCTTCGGCAGTAGGTTCTTCGACAGGTGCGAAATCAGCTTCTGCCAGTCTTTCAGCAGGTGGAAGCACTTATCGCGCCTCGTCTCCGCCGGTATCTGGCCGTCCGAGTGCTCGAAGAGGACGTTCAGTACGTCCTTCCTGCAGCGGGCGGGCCGGCTGGCTCTCACCATCGCCAGGATGAGGCTGTCCACGTGCCTGTGCGGCGTGATGATCGGCTTGTCGTATATGCTGTTGTAGGCGTTGCCCTCGTCCGCCGGGCCGACGATGTACAGCACGTGGGTCGCCACTTCGAACGAGTCGCTCGCCCATATGAAGGGGTCGGCATGCGCCGTGGACGAAATGTCCCCGTCGTACATTATCTCGAGGCCGCACTCGGAGCGCAGGTACTTGACGAACGAGGCGACGCACTCCGCGTGGAGCCGGTTCGCCGGCGAGTAGACCACCAGCACCTTCGGCGGGGCGGGGATCTCTTTGCCTGCGAGAAGCGAAGTGAAGTTGATTACTGTACTGTACACCTTGTGCGTAATCTATATTTCGCAAATAAATATATCGTTATTATTAAAAAAAAAAAAGAAGTAAGTGTTGGCTTCGGCGCTGGGAGCACGGATGCCAACTTAGGAATTCTCTTACTAAATAAAGGAAGAAAAAAATTTACAATGGAAGTTTTTTAGGAGGTAAACTAAAACCAAAACGTCCTAAATGTTTCTCGTTCAGGAAACTTTGTTTTGAATTTAGTGAATTTTAGTGGGTTTTTGAATTGCTTTAGGAGTAATTTTTTTGAACAGTTGGTAGTACTGGCCGGGGGTCGTGGGTTCGATTCCCATACGAGAGAAATATTTTTGTGACCCACTGATAGTTGTTTCGGATCTTGGGGTTCCATCTTGAAATACAACACAGGATAATGTTATCCTACTGTAAGGAGGTTTTTAGAAGAAAAAAGCATCCCCACTGCTGAGCAAAGGCTTCCTCTTTTTACGATAGAGTACCGGTTCCAATCCCTCTGGCTCGAGTCAAGTCTACCGTCCGCTACGCCGATGGGGTCGTAGCTCTACAGTGGCATAGTGGTGGGCTGGTCCATAATATATTTATAAAAAAAGAAGTAAAGTAACAGTCTACACATGTTCCACAGTCGGGCAAAGGCCTTCTCCGTACATAGGGTATGAGGCCATTGTACAATATTAAGTTTATTGTCTATTAATGTACAGGATGGTAGACAACAAGGTGAAGTGTTTGAAACGGTGAAGGATAATAAATAAATATACACCAACCGGGTGCGAGGCTATTGTAATCCCTGCAGCAGTAGCGTCGTATCACTCGTAGCGCGATGTAGTAAGCGAACAGCGTTGCCACTATCAATGCAGTCACGCTCGCTATGCAGATATTAAGTGTCTGCACCTCATTGCCTGAAATAGAAACAAAACCAAACTTAGTTATTTTTTATTTATCCTTAATTGTTAACTGTTATGAACGCCACCGTTCATACCACACACAGCAGACATCTTGTTTTTAAAATTGTACCAGACTACTCTCTACTTACATTATTTTCATACATAAAGATTTATTTACTAACGCCTACATTCCATCTTCTAAACACCTACGAAGAAAGAACCATAATGAATGTAACAAAGGGCGGACTTAATGCCCAAAGCCATTCCCTACCAGTCAACTCATAGTGTAGTGGAAGATTATGGAGGACACGTGGGTCATCGAAGTGAAATGGACTATCCCCACTGTACACCGGCTTATGCCCGGCAGCGGGACATGTACCGGCATTTTCTTTTTTTTCCTTCATACGTACGCAAGTGCGTGCGTGCTTACATATCAACGCACACGCACACACACGCACCAAGTCAAAACGGCACTCACTGATCCTGATCCTGGGGCTCTCGACGTACTGGCACCGGGCGACGTCCGCCCTGCACTCGTCCCGTACCACCGTCACCACGTAGTAGTAGGAGCCGGACTTCTTCAGCATGCTGGTCGAGTAGACCACCTCGTTGGTGCCGTTGCCGCTCCCCAGCCGGATGGTGGTGTTCGCCACCGTCTCGTCCAGAGGGCAAAGCGTCTCCCTGTCGCACTCCCTCACCACCGCCACCTGGTACGCCACCACTCGCAGGTGTTCTGGCGGCTTCACAATGTGCAGCTTCATCGTGTCCGTCAGTATCTCGATGTAGACGAACGGCTTCCAATCGCCCGCGGCGGCAGCGGGGCCTGGAATCGATTCGCGGTTTGAGTCTTTAGATAATAACGGACGGGAAGCAGAGACGAGCGTTGGAGCGAGCGCGTATTGGAGTGGAGACCCCGGCTAGGCGGGAGAAGTGTGGGCAGACCACCAGCCCGATGGTCCGATGACATTAAATAGACAGCAGGCCCAGTCTGGACAGGGGAAACGAAGAGTCGTGCCGAATGGAAGAAAATTATGAGGTGTATGATTTTTCAGTATTCAATAAGGTTCTTGTTTTTTAAAGTGAAATGCTAGATGTTGTAAGAGATAGATTTTTAGTGATTACTTTGTGAGTTACAGAAAAAGTTTCCCTGCGTCCATATTACGATTAGGCAGTCAATTTCACTCACTCAGCATCTGTGCAGTCGGTATGTTGAAGTAATACTGGCCGCGATTGACCACGACGTCATCCGTGGCCTCGAAGTCCAAGATGTGGCTCTGTCCGTTTGGGTTCCCGTCTGCCACGGGCCAGTAGCAGTCGTAGTAGAGCACTGACTGATCGTTTACCGTCACATTGTTCGATATCACAATGTTCCTGCAGTGGTTCTCCACGCTCTTGTACTTGGAGAACTGGAAGCGGAATTTCATTGCTGGAAGAAAAGGGATATCATCACGTGTATAATAGTAAAGTAACAACCTATACATGTCCCACTGCTGGGCAAAGGCAAAATGTACAGAGTATATCAGGGCAGAGTCCAGCACGCGGCCCCACTGCGTATTGGCGGACATCACATAATATCTTCGAAATAAGTTTTTGTCATTAATTTGAAAATATGTAGGTTTCCTCATGATGTCATCCTTCACCATGTATATATTTGTGTTGAAATGTTTGATCGACTTCTCATACAAAGTAGATTTTAGGCTGAGATTGGACCATGAGCCATTTGCTTTTCATTAGTACTATGTATGATCAATCATTTAGGATACCATACACAGTTTCTCAAATGTTTTTTGTCGGTACACCATTGCATTTTGCGATTCAAAAACATAGAGAACACAAAAAAATTAGTGTTTACATAAAATAACAAAAATCGCGTCTTATAAAGAACATATTATGACACCATTTATTAAAAAACTATTTAAATGAATTTTAGATAGTGCAATGAGTAGACTTTTAGTAACTTTTTTAGAACTATAAAGAAAAAAAGAAATATAAAGTTCTAATATTAGATACCATCCATTGATAAATTAGGTACACACTCGATGTATTTTGATCACGGCTCTGTGCGACAATTTTGCTCAGGGGAACTGTATTGCATATCACTTTTTTATTCTTTTATATGAACATTCCATTGGCCAAGTACTGTATCTATTAGAAAAAAGATGTAAAAATTCACAGCATAAAGCACTATATATTTGCCATCATGCTTACTTTTCCATTTGATGTTGCTGAACGTTATATTGAGCACTGTATGGTTCACAGTGTAAACGGTGCCATATGAAACGTGCTCAAAGGCCAACACGTAGGGTTTCAGGCTTACGCCGCCAATGTGAGCGTTAGGCGCTATCGGTGAAAAGCTCATGCTCTTGCATGCAGCACTATTCGAAGGGAAGTACTCCATTTGGCATGAGTCCTCCGTGTAGTCATGGCCTAAAATCTACAACAAGGTTTGGTTTAGTACAATAAGGCATATGTATTTAAGGTATTTGTATTTTGTACGGAAGGGTAGAAAGTCCTAATGAACACTGCAACCTAAAAGATCTATTGTAGTCTTAAATAATAAGTAAAGTGGAAGTATAATACTTTCGCATTTTGTCTGGGGAGTGAGCTAGCCGGAGCCCAATTTTCAAAAAGTTGACAACGCATCTGCAACCCTCGAGTGTAGTGGATGTCCAATGGTGGCGGTATTCACTTTAAATCAAGTGAACCGTCTGCTCGCTTGTCAACTTTTCACATAAAAAAAGTCTTTCCTTCGAGAACATTGCCCCCCTAATTGTAGAATAATATTATCTTGTGCTGTTAAGATGATTCACAAACATAAATCTCATGTGGAAAAATATTTGTCTCACGTGGGAATTGAATCCACGACTCCCAGCGGCGTAGTAAATACCTTGACAACTGCGCCACAGAGTCATCAAAACAGTCAAAGGCAAGGGTCAAAGAATTGTATGTTTATAAACTATACAATTCTTTGGCAATTGCTGTCATATGGGTTAGTCTGTGCCAAGCAAATAGAAATAAGTTTGAACACACCATAATCGATATGAAAAGGCAAGGTGATTAGGTCTTTACAACTTTTGTATAGTGACTTGCTCTGAACATTTCCAAAATTTAGTTAATCAACTTTTCAAAGGACTTAAATCTTAGGTATATAAGATATAGATTTATAAAATGTTTACTTTAAAAAATGTCATTATTTTTATTTCCAGTATTTTTTGCTGATGAATGAATGATGAATATTTGAAAAGTAGAAATGTGGCCATTACAATTGAAATTTAATTTTTAATTTAAGTGCCAGTTTACCTTTCATGGTAAAAACGTCATTTAAGAAAGTGTGTTTGCTGTAACGGTAGCACATTAAATGACACCAAGGATTGCTATAAAAGAAAGCAAATGTCGTGAGGATATCAACTGCTTCTCATAGGGGTATAAATTTCAATTACGACCTATACTAGAGCCCGACTGAAAAATAAATAAATAAAGATTGTCTGTCAATCCTACCTAAATTACTAGACATTATATTAAGTATCAATAAAAAGTAGTACTAATAATAAAAAACCTAAACAAAGGTTTTTTCATAGGTATAATGTTCCTAATAATCCACCCTACAGCTTTTTGCGTCTCAAGGTTGATTATGTCAATAAATCAATAAACACCGATATCTATTATTACGGGAAAATACGACTTACCTGGGTTGTGCAACTTCTCGTCTTATTATCGCATAATTGGCTGTATCCAATAACATATTGCACAAAATAAAGAAAAACTATATAAAAGAAATATCTCATCTTTAAAGAAATGTAAGAGAACCCTGAATTTGTTAAGTCTGATATAAATTATTATTATTCATTTCGAGAAATAGGCGATTTAGAACATTTTAAATAATATAACCTGACAAGTTAAAATAAATAAATTTAAAATAATAAAATTGTTTACAATATGACGATAACTCCGCTCTATTCTACAAAACAATATGGCTGCCGCAGTTTTTACAGAAAAACAATATCACAGATTACGTAATGTTGCTCTATGCCAAAAAAATATCTTGAGAATGAGTCATCACGTGTAATGTAATAACTGGCAATACAGATAAGCTATTAGCTGTTATAAAAATAAGAATCTTTAGAACAAGTCGACCAGAAACAGAGATTAGATTGTTAAATTATTCAGCCCAGTCACAAAAAATTATGAGCGAATGTCTTCACCAAAAACCAACAACCGGGAATAAATTATAAGTCTCATTGTCAGCACCACTATACGCCGACTATTCAGATCTTATATAAAAAAAAACCCGGATTATTATCCGTCTAAATTCTACAAACTTTGCTTAAAACCTTAAGCCCGATCTACACTGATCAAGTGTTTAGTACAGTAGCGAAGTACAGTGAGTAAGTAAAGTAGTATAAATGGTCGGACAGTGGCGAATTGCCAGTTGACTGGCCACTTTTCGATGGTTTACACTTCTGTACTTACTCTCTGTACTTGTCTGCTGTAACACTTGAGCAGGCTTTAAGCCATGGTTCAGAAAGTGGTGGATCGAGGTGAGCCCTGAGGCCGGGGAAGAATAAGGCGATCATGTTTAACTGTCACTCGAACTACGAATGAAAAAAAATCCTCCTGTCAAATTATTCGGCTAATCTATTCTACGAGAGGGAATGCACTGCCAGATACGCGTCTACGCGGTATGATTACATACGTTGTGTTGGTCTTTTACGTTGTATTGTATTCTCAATTCTCATTTCAAAATATTAAAATGAAAGTATTTATAAAAATGTCCTATTAAATATTCCCAGTACCTAAAAGTAATTCTGCGCAACATATTATATTAGTAAATACCGTATAAATCTTCACAAAACTAAGTTTATTTAAATTAATATTTTTGTAAGCTGTATTTGAGTAGGACTTTTATAGGAAATAGATAGCAACATTGAATTTAGCTTTCAATCAAACTTCGGGACAATTTTTTTCATGTTTTGAAATCGCTAAAATGTTAATATAATAATAAAGAGATTATAATAAGAGTGATACAGCATGATTTCTACATTCCAAAATATATTATTGGTTGATTTTCAACAATGACTGTAAGTAATAATAATTCATATATTTATTAATTTAGACCTGCCATTAAATTCTAATTAGATATTTGCATAATAACAAAACTGCACAAGTTATAAACTTATTGTTGAATTGCTCTTGTTGATATTACCAATCTTAAATAATTTACCTCGAGGTTATTCATAATATATATTATAATAACAAAGACTGCTTGTTTTATTTCGAATTTTTTACCATATTGGAAAAGATAAGTTTAACATAACTTGAAGTACCTATCTATTTAATTATGTTCTAGATGTTAAATAAATTTGAAAAAAAAATCTGAACCCAATATGGCAGTTCTAAAACTATATTATATGTGCTATGTTATCCAGCTTTTGCTTCCTGTGCCTACTTCCACTTTGTGATAAAATATTGTCATTAGGTCTTGGTAACATTTAACTGTAATATTTATTTGTGTATTTTGTTGGGTGTAAATTTTAACAATAGTGTTTAGAACTTCAATTAATTCTATGGTAAGAATTTTATTAGTATAACACATGTTACACTGTTTAGATAGATAAATTAAAGTGTGTAAACAAATAACCATTTAGAAATGTAATTATTAGCTATGAAATTGTTTCATTAATTTTTGAGAAATTCTATTTTGAAATCCATATATGTGAGGAAAAGTTGACAAATTCGAGATAAAAAGAAATAGGTTTTTTTTTAATAATAAGAAACTGTTTTGTAACACTTAATTTGACATATGAATTCAAATTTTCAATATACTATTTAACCATTTAGTTCGTCCAACTATTGATGTGTGCGTTATCTAAATGTACTTGTTCTATTTTATCAAAGGTCAAACTGTCAGTTTCATCGTTAATATATGTATTAATATATTGTGATAAACTATTACCAATTTTAATTATTGTTAACAATTTTAATGCCCAAATTTTCATTATTTAAATTTTGTGGTTTTTGAATTTAAGAGCTTTGATAACAACTTTTAACAAATACCAAGATTATGTTAGGACTAATTAATAGTATTAGTTATCTCTTATAGAGGTCTCTTTTAGCCATTTCAATTATTATTTTTTTACTGACATTTCTAGTCTGAAAGTATGTTTGATATTTTATTAACTTCATTGCTGGTCATGGTGCAAATTTTATTTAAAACTTGACTGCCAATTGCCACAGGTTTATTTATGATCATACCTTAGCTAAACTAAATATGCGTTTGATTCCCATACAATGCAATTTTCTTATCAAACGTTCAACTCAATTTGTTCAGTTATTTTTGTTCGTTAGTTACGTTGATAAAACAATTTTATGGTCCTTCGCATTGTTATAATTGTTCCATACAAATTAATCTCTTTTCAAATATTTCCAAGAAATTTTTGCTGCCTGTAAATAATTTGTATTAAAAATAAGCACAAGTTGAATAATACAAATTTCAAATTTGAAATGACTCCTGAAAGCATAAACTTTTAGAAAGTGTTTGTAAGTATATGCATTAATTTCTATTCGTCATAAAAGTATGATTTTTATTGTCTTAAGTTTTAATATCCATACTGCATTAACATTGCAGTGTTTGAGTTAAGAACATGTATTTATTTTTAAAGTCTAGTGGTGATTTCTCAGTATGTACATTGTAAAATGATTTTTCAAATATTAATTACTTTTCTTACATAAACTATTTCATTAGACAGAATTTATCTCAATACAAATGCTTGTTTTTAGGTTTCTCTACCCAAAGGGTAAAACAGCACCCTTTAACTAAGACTCCACTATCTGTCTGTCTGTCTGTGTGTTTGTCCATCTGTCACCACTTATGAACCGTGATATTTAGACAGTTGAAATTTTCACAGATGATGTATTTCTGTTGCCACTATAACAACAAATACTAAAAAACAAAATAAAAAAAATATTTAAGTAGGACTCCCATACTATAGACATGGTATTTTTGCTGGTTTTTCGACTCGCACTTCGCCGCTTTTTTATGTTTTCGTGATCAAAGATCTGTCATTCTGGTCTAATTTCAATAATTGATGCTCTTTGACTGTAGTTTTATTCTTATTCTCGGGTTAGAATATAACTGGCCGAACAACAATATTTTCTGCGTCGGGTGATAAGACTTACAATACATTTTTTTTAATGGTATATTGCATAAATGAAAATTGTCTTTTGGTGACCCAATGTCCAAGGACAGTGACTCGCGATCGAAGCTGGAGGTCTCGATCCTGAGCAGTGGGCGAGCGGTTTCCATATGTTAATATCTGGCTGGCAACAACTTTAGTTTAGCAAGTACTGCGGTCAATTCCATTCATTACCGTCTCTTCACCACATTTTGGTTACAGGCTTGATAATGCGAATTTCCTGTTAATTAATAACCGTCGATACGATCAACGACGCCATTTAATTACAATGTTGGAGTACAAACTATATCTATGGTTCCGTACAGTGTTTTGTGCATTTTAACGTGTATTTAAATAGGTTCGACGAGCGGTTTACCGGCTGCGACCTACTTTATCGATTCAAACTTTATTGTCAGAGACGTACCAATTGCTGGCTTGGTGTCCTCACAACGAAACCGCCAGTATTAAATAGCTTCGAGCGTAACGAATCTGGCACAAACAATCTGGACGTTTTAGAATACCATTTAATTTACGACGCGTCCAATTTTAATGAATATATATACGGGTCGAAAAAACAGGTCTCAGACCAATTTCGAATCATCGCTAGTTATTAAATGCCGGCGAATCTGCTAAATTGAAGCATTCGCAAGGCATACAATCGGTGTGCTGTTGTATATTTCCATGTGTGGTCTGTAACATTGTGCAGTGTGGATATCTAGAAATGTTGCCAGTAATATAATGCCCTTTGAAATTAAAAATCACCGTAATTTCGATAGAGAAGGCGTTGTCAGTGTGGGATCCTGTCATTAATAAAATTAAAACTAAGCCTAAACGACTATGGAAGGTTAAGATCCAATGAACAGCTGCTGATCTAAGCACACACGCAAAACGGCACACGGACGCAAAACTAAGAAAATTTATAACGTTCGTCCGTGATCTGCCGGTACTTCCCCGGACCCGCTGGCTTATTCGTGCAACAGAAAAAATTGCGGTATCACAGTAAATGGATGCCACAATGTACTTTTTTTTGTACAGCAACTGATTCATATTATACTCGTGAAATCCGAGTTTAAATCCAGGTTCCGCCAGTGACTCTGTTAATTGAAATTTTAATAGCTGACTTATCACGTGCGGCAAAGGGAAATGTCGCGAGGAAATTGCATATTTTCGAAATAACATTAAAAATATTATGTAACAGTTTTAGAAAAATTACTATTTCTACAAATTGTATATAAGTACTAGCTGATTCGGCAAACGTTGTTTTAGCATAATTTTTCCAAAAAAATTTTTTTTTTATAAATCTATTCTCCTACCTACTGGATATACATACATGTAATATTTCATCAAAATCTGTCAAGCCTTTTCGGAGGAGTATAAACACTAAAATCTGTGACACAAGAATTTTATATGTTAGATGATATTTTTGAAGATAATATGTGAAGCCTGCCAAGTCGCGATGAGAGTGCTGGGCGGATTATTCACTAGCCCAGATGGTACACAGACCCAGCAGTGGGTTATAAACTACTTAGCTGTAAACTTAAGCGTGTACTTTTTAGTCTGGATACTGATCAACTCCTAATTTGGTCGACCAGCTGTCCATGTAGGTTAAACAGTATCGTTAAAACCTGTAATTATCTCAACTTTCTCCGCTTATGATGATTTCTGTGTTATACGTGGTTTAACGGTGGTAGGGCCACGCAACGGTGTTCGCTGTTGCACGAATGGGCAGGTCCGTCCGGGTAAGTACCACGTCCTCACAGAAGACCGACGTAAGGTAGAAGTAGAAGTGTAAAGTAAGAAGTACGTAAAGTAGAATTGTTCCACTTCTGCGTTTTGTCTGTTAGGGCCCACATTATATAGAGAGGTGGCAAAGCATCTGCAACTCTACCCCCACCCCACCCCAACCTAGTGTTGCAAATGTCCATGGGCAGGCGGTTATCACTTAACATCAGGTGAGCCGCCAGCTCGTTTGCCACTTCGTCACATAAAAAAAAATACTCGAACATTAGTCGTACAACACCTTGTGAAACCATGTTATAAGCAAATAAATAAATAAATAAACATTTATTGATTTCGTGGAGCTCAAACATATTTCAAAACCGTTTCGCGGAATACAAAAAAACAATTGCTGATGAAGTTAAGACGTCTGACGGGGCTGTCTTTCTCCGCGGAGATCTGAAATTCGTGATGCGAAGCTGTTGAAAATAAACAAACAATCGATTGTATAAACACACAATCAATGATTGCATCACCGTCGCTTCGCGCATTCTTTCTGGTGACGCCTCCGGTGGTGGGGTGCCACTCTTGGCTGTTGCAATTGACAATCGTCGGGAGAATGCGGGCCGGTTTATTCGTAAGTTTCTCTTCGCCGCTTTCATCCACTTATTTTTAAATATTATTTACGTAATGGGGGTGCCCCGTGTTGATTTCAGTATTGCCTTTACGAGGATGTTTTGATCTTTCCTCTTTATATTTAAAAAAAAGTTACGGTTGTTTATTAAAGATAATGTTTGCTGATTATCAGTGAAAGTGTACAGAACAATCATTCTTAATCATGGCGGTCTTGAAAATAAGCCTCCATCTTTTATTCGATCTATTGACGCCCGGTTTCTAAAACACCGATCATCGTAGATGTCAACTAATAAGCTGTCAAATGGCTTATTAAATTTCATTTTAGTTGCCAAAAGGATGGTTAAACTCTCTGAATTGCCCTGAATGATCTTCTTAATGATCAGAATGATCAATTCAAAGAGTTTTACCATCCTTTTGGCTAAACAAATGAAATTTGAAAAGCATTTGACAGTTGATTAGTTGACATCTACGATGATCACATTTCAGAAACCGGGCGTTAGTGTTTCAAATATAGTAATAGGGATTCCTTGTCTTGATGTGGGGCGTAGCTAACTATGTCAGGGACAAGTTCTGTGGAAGCAAGCTAGTGAATACATTACTCTATTATATACTGATGAAGATAGTATGTGTAGAATGTGTAAATAAAAGAATTAATCGTTATTTAATTACAGATAATGAACAAGAACCGGTTCAGATAATTTTACATCTCTAAGAGAAAGAAAAAAAACTCCTAAAAAAGTCTATTGAACCCTACACGATATAATAATTTTCTATACACGTACATATATAATTTACTAAACTAAAAATCTTTTGGATTTTTTCTAATCCTATAATTTTTGTTAAATTACGTTAAGCTGGTTCGAAGACTATTCAAGACAAACTATCAGACAGATACATAGACCCAAATCTTAAAAATTAGGAATTGAAAAAAAAAAACGTTTGCAAATAAATTATAACATGCACAATGAATGACAGTAAGCTTGAAAATTCACATGTGGTAGGATTTCAAACCCCAAGACCATCCGTTGTGTGTAGTTTACACGTCACATTACAATGACACATTTACTTAGATCGTTTCTCTCACGTACTGTTATTATTAAAATATTCGATGGTATAAACACTAAGTGATGCCTTAGCTTAATGCTCAAAAACCTACGCGTCTCTTTTAGATATCGAGTGTGGGCATTTCGGCCGTGGCTCTCGAAGCGCGAGCATTACAAATGTCTATGTAGTCGCCGTTAATACAATAAACAATTAAAATTCGCACCGCGTGTACTATCGTCAAAGTTTCATGCATGCGCCCGTGGCCGTTTGAAGTTCGCGCCCGTGGCAATTTCTCAGCACGTACGCACCCGTGGTAATACGGTCACGTGCGCGCCCGTGTAAATCCCGCGCTTTGGACCGTTAGCGATGTCCGCTCCTGTGCAGGCCGAGGGACGGGTGATGGGCCGCCGTTTTGTGCTAACACTGGTGATTGGGATCTCGGCCGGTTTTAGTTTCGCGTATATACTGCTCACCTCTTCGGGTCTAACGCGCGACGTGGCTTGGTACACCGGCAACAGGTAACACTCTGTGTAATTGGCATGGCGTTGCATGCTGTTGTGTGGCATACGATTTTGTAGCATAGTAATGTTTCAGCATGCAATTTTGCAGCATTTTTAACTGTGCAGCACGCCATTTTGCAACATTTTCGTAGAGCAATTCACAATGTTACAACTTATAACACCTCATCGTGCGGCATGCTATTCTGTAACATTTTCATGTTTATGTCTTGTTTATGTATTTTCTTTTATGTATTAAAAAGTCTTCTACACCATACTATAGTCATGAATCATTTTAGACATTTAAGGAAATATCGTAGTCATTTTACCGATCGCGTTTTAAATCTCGGAATTTCTGTTGCTTCGAAAGGTAGAAATTTTAATTTATAGTTTGAAAAATGTTGGAAGTGGAAAATTGTAATAGCATTTCGTTGGTATTCAGTGATTACTATTTCAAAAATGATACACATTTTTTTACGTGAATTCTTTATTTTTATTTTTACAGCCTTTTTTTTTTTCATTTTTGAAAATGAAGTAATTGTGTTGCGTTTTATATTTGATAAATTATATAAACCTTATCTAACTAATTTTATGTAAGCTGTATAAAAATATTTCTCTTGTAATACGCCCAAGTAGAAATCCGTTATGCGTTTAATTTGTGTATAAAACTTTTAAAAACTTCGATAACAATGCTAATGTTTTTAGCCTTTATTCGCATGTCTAAATAAATCATCCTTTTTTAAATTATAGGAGGTGGAAAACTGTTCAATCAATTTATTCGATATGTCGTATTTATAGGCATTCGAAATGTGTCTGGTAACACAGCAGTCATGACCAACTGTTATAAGTATGGATGGATGTTTGTTATTCTCAAACACAAAAACTACTAAACGGATTTCGATGAAACTTTACAGTAATAAAGTTATACATCAGAATAAAACATAGGCTGCGATTTATAAAAAATCTATGTATTTTGGTGTCAGTTCTCAACGAAATTCATGGGGTTATGAAGATGGATGGATGGATGTTTGTCACTCCTTCACACAAAACTACTGAACGGATTTCGATGAAACTTTACTTTACTAAGTAATATAGCTTATATTTATCAGTTATTTTTTTACTTATTATCCATAGTATTGTATTTTTAATTATTTCGATATAGGTTGTATTTGTAAGTATTAAGTATAAAGATTCATCTGTGTTCTCATTAGATTATTACGATTTTGTTAGTTTAATAATAACGGTTAGTATTAGGTATAGGTTGAGTTATAAGTAGTGAGAAGATAGCTTATATTTTGTCTTAATTAGCTTGGTTCTTAATTACATTGGTTGGTAAGTTGCAAATGAATACTGACCTAGCGGTAAGACCTGTTAATAATTACCAATGTACTTTATTCTAATCCTTAGTTTTTATTGCTGCTACCGTACGACAAGTAAAATCGCTATAGTAAGTAATAGTCTCCTTCAATAATCATAGTATACGTAATAATCCTTTTCTGCCGTTATAAAAACCAATTTGACTTCTGAATGTCTGTGTGTTTGTTTATCTGTGATGAATGCATGTTTCACGGCTAATCTGCTGAACCGTTTGTAATGAAATTTGATTGCAGATTTTACATCTAAAAATCCTTGCATCCGTCAGGAATTCATTATATTTGAACGCCAACATTATATCAGTTGCGTTATATCAGACTATCAATCGTACCACTTAAGTTCGTAAAACCCTTCTTGTCGGATCGCTTCTTTTACAAACTAAACCTCCATACAGACCCATTTCGTTATGGGCGCGTAATTTATTTACTTTATTTTATTTGGTACATAGAACAGCAAACAGTACATACAATAATCTTAATAATGGCAACTTATACACACTGTCCGCCAAAAATATATGTACACTACTTGTTTCGATATCATTAAACAATATAAACTTATACATTCTACTAATACTCAGAAAAATAGTGCTATCCAACAAAAGCTTTGCCTGTAAAATTTTCGAAATCTATCTGCTGTATCTACTTAATACAGTGAATAATGAAATCGTACTTTTCGTCTGTCATATTCATTGTTCAAAATTTCAATACCACATCATCACGCCCGTGAAATTGGTAAATGTATTCATGCCGATAATGAACCTTAAAGCGCTTGTCCAATTCGGCTCAGGTGAACTAATGCAAATTACATGCACATTATCTAATGAACTGCAACTAACAGCGAATGGAATTATACTCACGTAATATTATCCTATATACATGAGCGACTATTTTGGTAGACATTTTTAATTGTCGTGTTCTTTATTACATATTTTGTACAAATATGCTGCGATCAAGGTGGTATGGAAAATGGCAATGATGAAATCTTCCCCATATATAAACATAACACACGTCTTGATATAATGTTTAGTTTGGACTACCATTGTCTCCATCTTGTTGTCATTTTTTTTTCACGGGCATTCATTAGAGGGATGGTTTTGATTATGTTATGAAGTCATTAAAATACCTGCACCTTTAATTCTTTCTATTCAAATGATGTTTGTAATCATCGATGTTTTACTATTAGTAAAATGAACGATAACATTATACTAATAAAAATGTATAAATGTAAGTCTATGTAGTATAGAAATGGAGACCCATATACTCCCTCAATGCGAATAGATGGACAACTATTCGGCCTATATATGTAAATAAAGATATGCTCTTTTTTGTTGTAAAAATCATAACCTCACAGAAGACCGGCGTCAAGTAGAAGTGTTACACTTCTGCGTTTCTTCTGGTGACTGAGGTAGCCGGATCCCACTTAATTAAGTAGTGGCAACGCATCTGCAACCCTACGCGTGTTGCAAATGTCCATGGGCAGGCGGTTATCACTCAACATCAGGTGAACCGCCAGCTCGTTTGCCACTTGCTCACATAAAAAAAACCATTGTCCTTTAGGATTACAGTATCCTGTGTTGTAAGGACGTTTTACAAACATAAATTTCACGCGGACGAACCTCCAGACGCGAAACAACTACTGTGGGTGACACAAATAGTTGTCCCGTGTGGGAATCGAACCCACGACCCCCGACGCCCGGACCAATGCCTTGCAAACTGCGCCACGGAGTCATCGTTAGGTATGCTAATAATTGCGCAAAATTTTCCTTCGATCACTTTTTATGGGAATCAATTCGGTGTTATCATGCGCGCGCATATTATTATTTCTTGTTTTGTTGTGTAACTTGACCAGCTTATACGACCCGATTGGCGTGGGGAGTAGTGATCCTGCCTCCTGCGCCAGAGGGTGTGGAAAAATATTGTGTGATGAACATTGTGTTTTTCCAGTGTCTGGGTGTTTATATATCATATATGTTTAAGTATGTTTATCAGTTTTCTAGTAACCATAGTACAAGCGTTGCTTAGTTCAAAATCTAAAAAACCTGTCGCATTTTATAGTAAGATACTGTAATGTATTCCGCTAATAATTAAGCGCTTCATTAAATAATTCGAATACGGTTTTCAGTGGTCACCCAGTGTAATGAAATGTTTCGATACACCGAATAATAAATATTGGGTATGTTACCCAATATTTATTATTTTCCCTATTCAGAAAAATTTAATGTCAAAGAATATACTTGATAATATAATAGAGGCCCAAAATTTATTTTGTTCATTTGTATTTATTGAGTAACCTCTGAAAGTACGCGGCCGATTTAATTTTTTTTTTAATTACTAATGCAAAATTACTCGTCGAGGATAGTTTTGTTTTTCGTTAGCGAAAAAAAGAAAGATAATAATTATTATTTTAGACCGATTCAAAGGGAAAACGTCCCACTTTTGGGGCTTGTAATATGACAAAACATTAGAATAAATTTTTTTTAAATTAATATTGACGGAGGAAGGTGGAAAAGAATTTGCTGGGTCTTTTTTTGTTGTGTTGTCACTTAGAATAATTTACTTACTTAGAAATTTGTTATAAGCATAAGCATAAGAATGAATTATGAAAAAGATCACTCGGGGCGCTGTTGATAAGCTATTGGCTTCGGCGTCGGGGGTAGTTGGTTTGATTCCCACACGGGAGAAGTATTTGTGTGACCCACAGATAATTGTTCCGGATCTGGGTGTTTGTATCCCAAGGAGGATGAGGGCTTCGAATAAAATTTCAAACTGAATTTTTCTTTTGGTTGAATAATAAACGTTCATTTTATAATGTTATGAAGAGATTAGATCACTACAGAGGAGTGATGTAATAATACCCTAAAATCTCTAGTGATTCCATAATTCACACTATACCTCACAATCCTTTATTTACAATAATGATATACTTATACAAAGATATGACAATAGCGCACCGAAATTGAGGCGCTCAAGTTACAATTGGTGTAATTCTAATAAGTTGTATTAAACATTTAAATTCTTTAAACATCAATATTTACAGAGTTATTAAATTTTCCAAAACAAAAAATTTTAGAACACCCTTACCTATAAAAGCGTAACGTAAAGTTCATTTGTAAAGGTCACAAAGCATATGAATGGGTTGAATGAATTTAAAAGAGACAAATATTCTGTTAGAAGGAGAGGCTTGTAATACGACGCTGTGGCGCGAGTTGTATAGGTGTTGCAAATTTTGTTTCTTTTTTACTTAATTAGTTTGTTTGAAAAATATTTTTTTTTAATTATGGATTTTGTTTAACGTTAATATTATTCTATGATTATTGGCACGTAGCGTTGGACGTGTGTTCATTTATTGTTGCGATTGTAACGACACGCTGTATATATTGACATACATATATCATATAACGTAAGGCGAATCAATTTTGAAGCGCCGCGTTATAAACATACGTCATGTAAGTGTAATTAAACATCATTGATTTTAAAACATTGACTTTGACTGGTCCGTTTACTGCAGAATTTGGGGATACTTCATGGCCTTTGCTATACGATTATATATTTTCATCGCGCTTTATCATCATCGTCAATGAGCATAATTGTGCCAGTTCCTTTTTAAAATTTTTAAAATAATCAGTGTCAATAACGAATATATTATGAAGTGAAACAACTATGTTGATTTCGTCATTTATCGTCTACATTGCTTCTTCTTTTTAAAATTTTTTGATCATTTTATTCTTGATTTAAATATTTTGACGTTTTGATAATGTATTTATTTGTGTATAGTGTTTTGTTTTTAATGTAGTACGCTAAAATGCATAAGAATTATATATGAATTTTATTTTAAGTACACTTTATGTCTTATTAATTATGTTGGTTTCAATTGTTACTATCAAACTAACACAATAATCAATACTGCCATCGGCATTAACTGTGCTTGACGAAGCTAGTATGGGCATTAACTCTCGGAGGGCTTTTACGCGTGACCAAACAGCTTGTGTCATGACGCGTCCCGTTTCTCGCGGTGTCCAATTTCGAACCGGGTTGCGTCATGACGCGGGACGTTTCCCGCGCGTAATTGACGCGGGCGGTCCAGCAGGGAGGCGGCGCGTGATTTTGAGAAGCACCCGCTGCCCAGTGTTGTGGAGCACGGAAGCGAGGAACCCGCCCACCGCGATGAGGACAGGTCAATCGCCGACGAGCTGTCGCGACGCGTCAGGTACTATGCTGGGTCATGACACAGCCGAGCAACCACAAGAAGAAAGCGGCACACGTCAAAGCGACGTGGGGCAAGCGGTGCAACAAGCTGCTGTTCATGAGCACGGAGGAGGGTAAGCTGATAAGAGCTAACGCTCTATATTCAAAGACAGATTAACACCAGGCATGCACTCCATGAAGCAATAAAGCTTTGCATACCCTGCCATCTTATAAAAACATGACCCAAAACACCTAGAGCTATAGCCAGTTATATTCCAAATTCGAAGCACGTGGTTACTGATTTTTGGGCAAAGGCATGTACAGATGGTATTAGACTTTGCAAATATTAGAAATATTTTATTTTTAATTCTTTCGAAAACATGCAGGCTTCCTCACGATGTTTTCCTTCACCGTGGAGCACGTGTTACGTCAGCACTTAAAATTAACAACTTCAATGGTTGCCACAGTCTCAGATAAAAAAAAATATATATATAAAATAGTCGACCAATGATAACGACCCCGGCAGACGGCGAACTGCCCTCCGTGAAGTTGCCCGTCGAAGAGGGCCGGGACCACCTGTGGGCCAAAACGAAGGCCGCCTTCAGATACGTGTACGAGCACCATCGCAGGGAGGCGGACTGGTTCCTCAAGGCGGACGACGACACGTGAGTGGCATATCGTCACGCTATTATTAACATTACTGGTTTAGGAGGTCGCTATGCTCTTGGGGCACTATGGCGGACCCTCCATGGAGTGACTAGGCTCAAGGGTCCCCCAGAGGGGACCTCGGCTTGGGCTGTCACAACACGCGTTAAGCGTTCCGATTCGAGGGTGCCCGTGAGGGCCGCACCTCGATCGGTAGCTTTTATCTGACTGCCAATCCGCCTATCCGTTGTTATTTCAAACTTTTGAATCCTAATCGTTTGATAATTCTCTTTCTCCAGTTACGTGGTGGTGGAGAACCTCAGGTACATGTTGGCGGATTACGACAGTAACGAGCCCATATATTTCGGCTGCCGTTTCAAGCCGTTCACCACGCAGGTGATTATATTTATTAAATCAACAATTATCGTTATTATTTTTACCATCCCATTACTAGATCAGATTACCGAATGCAGTTTGCGTGATCTTATGCAAATTATGCCTAATTTACATACAAACTATAAAATGCACGTTGCATCTTATAGGCAAATAGAGCGCCCGTCGAATGGTGGTCGTATTAAATGAAAGGTTACATCTTGAAGTAAACTTTATTTAATAGTGAACACTTGATACGTAAGTGTGATTCGAGTTTCAACCTTACGGATATTGGCTACTTTCGCTTGTAAGAAAAATATTCCCATGTCTATATGGATAAACTTATAGTACCGGTAGTGTTGTTCGAATTGAACCCTTATTAACTACTGACTATAGGGTTGATATCGCATGGCTACACTATTCATTTGCGACTATGCTACTAGTGCTGATTGAATAAAGCTCTTGTAATTAACTTACTAATCAGGCACGGTTCAGTTGTGATAGCGCCATTCGAATCACGACCTTAGCAATTTTGCAGACAGAGTTAACTTCACAGTGATTCCATTAGAACCGTGCTCTTTCCCGTTGATAACAGAGTTCATTTCCCTTTGCTCCAGTGACCACTTATCTACAATCTGCTTGGCGCGCCTTTCAAAAACTGTTCGAATTGAGACCTTATCTCCATCGCTATGGAATACATTTCACAGTGTCGCGTTCGCGCGGCTCGCTGAGCGATTCTATTCCCCCTGCAACGGGCTCCGGGGCCAAGCGAAATGCGACTTTATCGGCTTGTGCATGAGGTTCGATTTGGCAGGGCTACATGAGCGGCGGGGCGGGCTACGTGATGAGCAGGCGCTCGCTGGACCTGTTCGTCAACAAGGGTCTGCCCTCGCCCCACCTTTGCAAGGCGACGGACCACGGCGCGGAGGATGCGGAAATGGGTGAGAAGGGGACAGGGGACTTTTATTTTTGGTATGGGGGGGGGGGGGGGGGGATTTCTTCTCACATGACTGGGTACTGATGAACAGCCCGTGTCCCCTTTTAGTCGCCTTTTACGACGGGCAGGGGATTTGGTATGGAGGACATTATTATAAAATTAGAATTACTTATTAGAATTGAGCAATAAATGTTTTCTTTTTTCTTTCTTTCTTTCTTCAAAATTGCAACTAACAATGTCATCGACGCCGGCACCGGGATTTGAGCTCGGGTCCATTCGTTTAGAACCTACGACGCCACAGATAGACACGCGGACGTAGACGTCGAACATATAACACCCCTATTTGTACGTCGGGGTTTGATAATGGCGAACGCGCATCGAATGTTTAACTGGTGGTAGGGCCACGCAGCAGCCTCGACTGTTGCACGAATGGGCAGGCCCGTCCGGGTAAGTACCACGACCTCACAGAAGACCGGCGTAAAGTGGAAGTGTAATACTTTCGCTGAGTGAGGTAGTCGGAACCCAATTTTCGAAAGGTTGTCAACGCATCTGCACCCTCGGGTGTAGCGGACGTCCATGGGCGGCGTTACTCAACATCAGGTGGACCGCTGGGCTAATTTCCACATTAAAAAAAACTGTTGCAGGCATCTGCTTGGACCGCATCGGCGTCAAGGCGATGGACTCCCGCGACGGGATGGGCCGCGGCCGGTTCTTCCCCTTCGTGCCCAAACACCACCTCTTCCCCAACAAGGACAAGAGCTTCTGGTACTGGCAGTACATCTACTACCCGACCGACGAGGTGAGGGTAGCGCCGTTCCAAAATCGACCTTACGTATATAGCGGTAAAGTTCATTTCGCACGGGCATATTTGCTAGTGTATTTGAGGATTATGTAGTGTACCAGGTGGGACAAGTGCCATTCTAAGCTCGACCTTATTTTCCAAGCGGTAAAGTTCATTTCACACGGACATGTTCGCTATTGCAATTGGGGATTTATGTTGTGAGCCAGATGAGACAAGCGCCGTTCTAAATTCAACCTTATGCTTGAAGCGGTAAAGTTCATGTCACACGAGCATTTTAGCAATTTTTATTGGATACTTATGTTGCAAACTAGGTAAAAAAAGGTGCCGTTTCAAACTCGGTCTTAAGTTCCCAGCGGTAAAGTTCATTTCGCACGGGCATATTTTCTATTTTAATTGGGGGCATAAGTAGCACGGACTAGGTGAAACAAATGCCGTTCTAAACTCGACCTTACATTCCGAATGGTAAAGATCATCTCGCGCGGGCACGTTTGCTATTGTAGTGTGTCCATTTTCTTCTACAAATTTCAATGAAATCTTCAATTGTTTTTCCGTCAGGGCCTGGACTGTTGCTCCGACCACGCGGTGTCGTTCCACTACGTGGACCCAGAGGAGATGTATGTGCTGGACTACCTGATATACCATCTTCGCCCTTACGGCATACGGCTCGGTATGGGCGACCTGCCCAAAGTCCTGCGCGCCAACGACACGGCCGCGACGGACAGCCGATGAACTCGCATTCCAGGTTTTTTTTTTAAACAAACCGCTTTTCGGAAAATGAAACATAAAAATCGTTCCACATTTGAATAATCAATACTATTCAATTATATATGAACTTCTTTTCAAAGAAAGAAACATAAAAATCGTTCCATATTTGAATAGTACTGATCAATTATAAATGAACCTATTTTCAAAGAAAGAAACAAAAATCGTTCCATATTTGAATAGTGTTGAATAATTTTTAAACGTTCCATTTGAATAGTGTTGAATAATTTTTAAACGTTCCATATTTGAATTGCATTAAACAACGGCCGCAGAGACGTCGGTGGACGTGAGTGCCTTTGGTCAAGTGAATTTAATTCGTTTAGTGAAGAGAATTAAGAATTTATTTGATTTTCGTGTTTTTAAAATCTCCCGCAACCTAAGGGAAAGTACCAAAGAATGCTTTTTAAAAGAACAAATAAATAGGAAAGACACAAAATTTTTGCTGGTTAAGTGCTAATTGCAGTCTCTGAGTGCGGTCGTAGTTTAGTGTGTTTGGTGATAAAGGTGCGGACAGACCTGAGCGATCGATGTGAAGTTCTCTCGATGGAAACTAGCTTCACACCGGTTATGTTTAAAATATAAGTAAAGATAAGATAAACAAATGTGTTTTTAGCTAAAGCTTAGGAGAAGCTTTAAAGATCCTTCGCGTGTGTCCGTACCATAATATATGTCATGCAAAGATGCTGTAACAGTTAATTTGCCCTTGAAAATTTGTGTAGAAAGCCATAACTTAAGTTTTAAGATCCAGTGCGCAATTGTAAGATGAAAATGTATATTTGTGTAAAGCGATCTAAAGTAACATATTTTTGGATTGTGAACAAGTTCGATAGGAATAGGATAATAGGATGCCAAATGCTTTGACTTTACTCACTGCCGCATAGTTAATTTGGAAGCTCCATTCATAAATAATAGGATTGATTAGAAGTAATAGAAGTAATTCTGGCACGCTTAAAGGAATTCAATGAAAATGACAAAATACCATCCGTTTTAAGTAAATAGTGTACCCACACTAGTGTAAGCATAGCATAATCGAAGATTAAATAATTTCTTTTACTTTAGTTGAGTTAGAAAACATTGTCAATTTTAAATTACTATCGCGGCTGTTGAGTTATATGACACTGCTATTGTTTCTATTGCCAAAAGTCAATTGTCTTAATTGGACATTGCATAATTCGAGAAATAAATTATATATAAAAAAAATATACATGTGTGGCAGTTATAGTCTAGTCCAGTGGTGTTATTATATTAAAAATATGCATCGCTTATTATATACAGTTCCAAATATTCCTATAATACCAAATATGACTTCACCGAATACCATGTAAGCGTGAAATATTTATTTTATTTTTATCTATATTAATTTAATATTTAGATATCTTTCTTAATCGATATTATTTAATTGTATCTGTATATATTTGGATGATAGAAGTGCTAGTGTAGACAAGACTATGGAAGGCTTAGAGTAAGTGTAAATGCGCGAACAGTCGCATCAGGGTAATTTTTAGCATTTATTTCATAAATTGCATGCATTTTGATGTGTAGTTATTTATAAATGACAGATATCTTTTTATCATATTCCCCGGTATAGGCTAAGTAAATTAATATAAAAGGTTTACAATTAAAGATTATAGTTTATATTAGTTTATAGTAAATATATTTACCGATTTCACTATCTTGTATAGTATTGTGGAATTTATAGGCAAAAAGACAAGTTTTTGTAATTCCAAAGCAGTTCCTTCTTTGTGTGTAAGTTACTTTAATCCTCCTTTTTTGGAATTTTGCGTTTATTTTTGTTTTGATAAGAAAGTCACTTGATGATCTTTGCATTAGTTTCAATTATGTACTGATAAAGTTTGGAAAATGGCTAAAGAAAGGAAAAGAAAACGATTTGAGGTGACTGGCCAGTGAGAAAACTTGAAATAAGGTGTGAATATGCATAGATATTGATGAGGCCTATTTAAATATTTGGAGGTTAATGCTAATTAAATATTTGTATAATTTTTCACAATTTACTAAATAAATAAAAAAGACAGTTATTAACGACATATAAACTAAAATAGTTTCTTTTTGTTAAAGTAAGTATGGCATTATAATTCAAAAATGAGCATAAAAAAATGTCATCTTTTAAAGTTTTCCTTAGCCTGTATTATCAAGCTATCAGCAATTGAGAAAAATACAGTTTAAAGATCTGTTCAAGAGGTGAGAAAATGTCAGAATCCTGATTGATTTATGGATCTATAGGTATATACAATAGACACTTGTAGATTGTAGATGAAGCTATCAACTTAGTGTTGATTCATATAGAATGTCAAATACAGAGAAGTATATAATAATTTTCTTTAATATAAAATGATTAATATTTTCACATACGAGTGTAATAAAGAGCTAGTCTTTAAGCTTAGACGTCGTAGCTTTACCAAAGACACTTAAGTTTATATCGTAGGGACATGTATTTAGAATAAGAAATAGATGTTGAAGCTAATGAGGGCAAATTTTGTATAAATAACAATAACAAATAACTCATTGTAGTTGGAAGATGTCATATGCGTGACATATCCGAGTTAACAGTGAGTTTATAAGTGAGAAATAAGTGTGTCTAGCCTAGGAGAAATTATCTATGAAGATTTAATATAGTGACCGGCAACCATCTTGATAAATAATTCGATTGCGCATTAGTAGTCGTTTTTTGGGGCGGCAGGGAATATTACCAGCGCAAGCAATAGCGTAATAGCCAATCAATAGATAAGCTGAACCAAAGTAGGGATGTCGAAAAAACATTGATATATCGATACAAAATATACAATATCGAAAATCGTATCAAAAACGATATTTCTTCAAATTAGATTCGGGAGAGTCCGTTGGTGTCAAAAATTTAATACCGTACCTTTTTTACTGGTCAAAGGGGTTTCTGGACTATATCCGATATATCGATATTGTCTCTTCGATATTGACATTGTAATAAATTTAAATTTCTAATAAGCAATGGCGACATCTCACGTTCGAATTATCGTTGTAAAACGATATTCGAAATTGTTTGTTGCTGGAAAGGATATAACAGTGGATGCGCCAAGCATTGCTTCAAATGCTATAAAAACAATGTAGATAAAAGACGTTAAGATTTACGTCGGTATGCCAATCAGCCGTTTAGCTTAGCGGCTAAAGCGTCAGGCCGCGAATGAAGACGTGGGTTCGATTCACACAGCGGCGAAAATCTTTTCTTACTTTTTTCTACAAATTTTAAATATCGATATATTTCTTCTCCTTCGACATCCCTAAACAGAAGTGGACATATGCGAACTTTGGCCCCTCTATGCCATTTTTTGCACTAGACGTTTGCCGGTACCTATACTATAGTATATAGAGAAATTCCAACCTCAATGACCATGAACCTTTGTTTTTATCGCTAAATGCGCGCGTATTATAACAGTCATTCATCATTAATTAAGCCGCCATTTTTATTACAGCACTGGAGTACTAATTACTACTTTGCTGACAGATTGCGCACTGTCTAACGCTACTTGCCAAATCAAAAAAAAATATTAAAGTTAAACAAAATCCATAATTAAAAAAAATTTTTTCAAACACAGTGTTGACACCCAATATCATAATACGAGATGTCTTATAAAGGTACTTCGTTATTGAGGTTGTGGATTTTCAAGCAATAAAAAATTTATACATTTGTATGTAAGTTAATACTGTGTTATCGCCTTTTATACAGTTAATATTTAGTGATTTTGTTACAGATTATGACATTATGCTATATTACGTAATTGCGTATCACAAAATTCTTATGGATTTTTCATGTAATGTCATGTAAGAGTCAGAGTATGTGTGATTGTTGGCCAGTCCATAACTTTTAGCCCAGAATCTGAACTCGATACGTAACCGCAACTAGTGCACAAAATAAACGAATATCGCTTATTTTGTGCATTATTCCTAGAATTAATACATCTTGCTTTACAAAATGCCCGATGCCCGACAAAAAAGGACCGATGACCGATGAAGTTTTAATTTTTTTCAAGTACTGTAAGCTTAAAAATTCAATCAATGAACGCGACCAAAGATCATTTGTTAACATTTTTACTGCCAACAAAATGTCTGACATCTCAGTTACTATTATTCTATATTTACACTATTAGTTTTTAGTCTACGCGCGTTATTTTATTTGCTCAACGAAAATCTCATTTTTTTTTAAATATTGCAATAAAGATTAGTGTTCAAATTTGATTGTTTTGTTTGACTTTTACAGCCTCATTCAACACATTTTTACAGAATTGCTTTCTTAATTGCATTATTCACAACAAATAACAATTGCATTTTTTTAAGTCAATTATATAAACTACTAGCTGACCCGGCAAACGTTGTTTTGCCATATAAATTGCCATATTATTTGTAGGGTAGAAAAAAATGTTGGGGGTGGACCACCCTTAACATTTAGGGGGATGAAAAATAGATGTTGTCCGATTCTCCACCCTGGCCGATATGCACACAAAATTTCAAGAAAATCGATCGAGCCGTTTCGTAGGAGGTCAATTACCAACACCGTGACACGAGAATTTTATATATTAGACAAGTTTCCGTCTGTTCATGTCCAGACGCCGAAGTAATTTAGATGTGTAGACGGGCTTAAGTCGGGATTAGGAAGTCATTTTTTTTGCTACGCCATCAACGGTGCAATTTCTATATTTATCTTTGTTTTTAAAAATCATATCGTAGAGTTCGATTTGTCTTTTTTTTCCAAGTCGATGTATTTATATCAGTCAATCTTTCACGGCTGTATGGTGCTGTTGGAGAAGCGAAATTTTTTGTAAATGTGTCATAGTAGGACGCGTTATCCGTAAAACAAAGAGCAAACAAATAAAAATCGACATTTTATTCGCGGTACTGTGTCCCGCCCATCTAGTTAAGGCCACGCATAGTGAACAAACATAAGACTATCGAAAATCCCAAACCCGTGGGTTCTGGCTAGCCCACCGGTTCTGCGTCAGATGAAGCTTTAATAGTCTCGGGACTGAAAGCAAAAAACATCAGTTAATACAAGATACAAGACTATCGAAAATCGGTTTTGAAATATAATCGAAATTCTCCAGCTAGCTTCTGGGAAGTGCTCCACTCCATTTTCAGCCTCATACGTCATAGCGTGGGATACTGTAGCTATCAGAATTTATAAAAAATATTTTACATTAATAGATATAAAAGTCAATCAAAGCCTTACGGAAACTTATTTAACGAAGAAAGTTACATGACACCGTATCCCTTTTTTTCTTGAATTTTCTATGACTAATTATTTTTGGAAATGTTTTTTTTTATGCGAAAAATTTTCAAACGAGCAGACGGATCACCTGATGTTAAGTGAATACCGCCGCCCATGGACATCTGCCGAGGGTTACAGATGCGTTGACAACCTTTTGAAAATTGGGCTCCGATTACCTCACTCACCAGACGAAACACGAAAGTATTTGTCATACTTCCACTTTACGCTGGTCTATGGAATTGGTACTTACGTGTCACTGAAGGTCTTAGACAACTGACGTCCAGCTACTATTGAAGAGTGAAGGAGAATTACTTACGTCTACATACCAAATCTTCTGTAAGTGACCACAACACATTTTAACAGTAATGTCGAGGCTTGGAGGGGCGCCGTGATATCTTAGGTATGTGTAGCAGCAAAATGGAGATCATTTCAAATAACGTTCTATAGAAATGAAAAAATGAACAAGACTTATTGCGGTTACATGATTTTATTCTTTCTTTACAAAGTGAAAATTATAAATAACTAAATGTTACCCAACTTTATTTAGGTTATATGCTAAAAACGACTCTATTCAATTCTTGTTAGGGCCGTAACAGCATTACAATGATAACAAATAAATAGATACTAAAATATAAAACACTAGTCGCTCGACTAGGTATGGGAAGTGATGTCAAAGTATACATAATAATCATATTAACAAGAAATTTATTACTTAGAATATATTACCTAGTGTACATGTGAAATAAAAAAAAAGCAGTCATATTTTAGCATAGCAAACGAATTAATGATACATATTCTAAAAAATATTCCTAGTAATGGGAACCCGACTATTGAAATCGATATGTTCAGAAAATCGTGAGAAAAATATTTAGTAATATTTTAAACAGATTTCAATATTTAAATGTTATGGGTCTCATAAAAAAAACTATTGCCAAAACCGCGTGGCGTAGGAATTAACGTTGTCAATTGATGCATTTAGGGTTTAAAATCCTGTGAACTTGAGCTTCGAGCTTGTAAAATTTAATATCTAGTCAACTCAACTATACTCAGATGGTAATGTATTTAATGATATCTTAATACCTCTAAGTAATATTCGTGAGCTTATAAATGAATGAACAAACTGGCAACTGGTTTCATACCAACTGTGACAGCAGACATTTTTTGATGTTGTAACATCACTATGAATATACTGTACACATTATATACAGCCACGCGGTCATTTGTTGAATAGAACTCCACATAGAACTCTGAATAAAATTCCACATAGAAGTCCAAATAAAAACTCCACACACTTTCTCCTATATGTTTTCCTTTACCGCTCAGCACTTGGCAACACTACAAACGGCGGCTTCTAGCAATTTGATTGGTGCAAGCGTCGGATTTGAATTGTGGTTATTAAAGGTCAAATGCTAAAGAGATACCACGGCTATACATAAAACAAAACTAACTAATAATACAACTAACTACACAAAATACAGTTACATTGAGTAAACAATAATAATGTGGGGTACATTATACTAACGAAAAGGCGGCGTGACGTCGCTACAACGGAACTTAGTGTAAATCTATGGACTAAATAAAGTAGAGATTATAAACATCAAGAGGCTTAAATCGAAAATAAGTGAACTCGCATATTGCCTCGAGTAGGATAACAAAAAAAAATCTTATATATACATTGTTAGATATCGGTGGCAAAATTTTATAGATGTGATGGTAATTATCTGACCTTACATAAGAAAAATGTTTATAGCCAACTAACCAAATGAGCAGTAAAGTTATTACAAATTTGTACTTTTCGAGCTAACAACGCATTTTACACAATGAATGAAACTAATTGACGGATTTTATTTTTGATTTTTAATTCTCGGCGACGAAGATTTCTGTGGTCATTAAAAATCAAAATTAAAACAAAACTATAATATTCGCGTAAAAACAAGAAATCTATATATTTTTCTTCAATATCAGTAAGGTAAGGTGTATTTACGGCGATATTGTAAACAGGCTTTGCTATAGTGTTTTTTAATATACATACTTAGTGATGCTTAGTTTTTCATACAGTTTTAGAAAACCAACAGTATTTGTCATCAATAATATATTGGTGTGATTCATAGGATCACAACTACTTGGAAAAAAATATGTATGTCGTACCATAAAGTACTTGAACCATATAAAAAAATCTTTTATTTTATTATAAGTATGACAAAATTTAATAAAGCAAATAAAATATAATTAAGTACGCTATCAGGTTAAGTTTAATTCAATAAATGATTAATTTAACTAATTTAAAGTCTAAATATTATTATCAAACTGAAAATACTAAATGGAATATAATGTCCTAGATTAAATTAATGTTCTCGTATTCATTTATGTATATGTTATATAAACTTGTCCTTTATAAGATTTTTATGAAAATTGTAACTAGATTATTCTATATATATTTATAGATCCGTATTTGTAGACATGTAGACACTATTTTATCATATTTTTAAATAACTCCATTATAGAAATTACGGTATACTTGTACATAATTACAAAAAATATAAACGAAACTACCAATTCTTGCATACAAACAAAAAAAAAAAAAACAACGAAACTTATGCTAATGGTAATAAATTTAAAGTAGTGATGCACAATATCAATAAAGTACTAGATAGCTTATTGAAAGTAGTTCCTCTTCTTCCTTGTAATTCTGAAAAATAAAGAAAAAACTTTCATCAACACAAATCATCACTGCCTCAACTGAAGTTAGGGAAAAAATTTAAAAAAGGTGTCCCTTCTGTTGTAGTCGTCCCGTGTGGGAATCGAACCCACGCCAACCGGCGCCGAAGCCTATACCTTTACAACTGGGCAACGGAGTCATCTAATGGATTAATAAGATGAAAATGTCAGAATCAGTAACACTCACCCGGTTTCGGCGGGGGAGAAGAAGAATCCCCTGGGCTTGCTAGGGGGCGCCAGTGGGGAGGAATTGGGGGGGCAAGCCCATTGCGCCCAATAGTCCCCTGGCAGCCGGAGCAAAAGCTGCATCACCTGATGATGAACATTGCTATTATCGTTCTTCTATTCCATTTAATTGAAAATAAAAGTGAAAGCAGAATAAAATGGAAAGTGTAAGTAGAATGAAATAAAAAGTTTTATATTTTTATTATTACTCTAAAATCCTTAAATACTAAATTATGCTTTTTAATGAAAATGGTGCCATGTCAACTACTTCTCTACAATGCCCAGAATGGACCTAATAGTATCATAGTATAAAGACATTACAAATGGTCAATTGTAATAATAATAAGATGACAAAACAAAACTAATATACCCTCATAATAATAATAATTAATACTATTGGGTCCTATTTATATATGTACTATCATCATATATCATTTCAGCCTGTTTGAGTAAACTACTTAACATAGGCTTCCCCCATAGACTGCCATGTACTGTATACAATATTTATATCTATGTTTATTTTTATTCATAATATTTATTTTATATATGCAATACATATCTAAACGTTTATTTTTTATCGATAAATCCAACCAGACGAGAAAACAAATTAACAATATTTTAGAATTTTCTTTGAAATGTATAATTTATGCTACAGCAACAACATCTTGGTGTATACATCGAGATTATTCTCTCATACCCACCTACTCAATACTCCTTGCTTCTTCTTCTTTCTCCATATTGGTTTAATTAAAAGTTATAAAATCTAAAAAATTGTTTAAATTATTTTCTTTTTACGACATAGAAAAAAATGCCTAAAAAAGTTGAGAAATCACATGATTTCTTATCTTAAATTTAGACAAATAGATAATTGTTACGTACGTTGAACATTTGCGCTGTGGCGCTGTACATTTCGGCTGCCTGCGTCATCATCCCGTAGCCCACTATGGTGGGGCCGAATATCTTCGCCAGATTCTCTATGCCCATTTCACATTCAGGACTCTCGGCCACTCTGTAAAGATTGACAGATTCGTTTTAAGGAATTATAAACGTTACAATCTACCACAAAGAGCCAGGTCCGAAAAAGTTACGTATAGATTATATGTCTAGTGTGAAAATCGAACCTACGACCCCCAATGCCAAAGCTGATTTCTAGTGTGTGGGTGTGCATTTTAATAAATGTTCTATGTGCTGCTAGGCTTGGGTTTGTGTTCTATATATTGTTGATATATTGTACGCGAAGTACTATACTTCAGTTAAGTGGATCAATGACAAATAAATAGGTCATTATTAAAAGTAGTTTTACAAAAACTAGATGAGTAACCAGTTAATATTGTCGTTGTTGTTTATTCTTCATTGTATCCATAAAATAGTATATTTTTAAGTTGACTATATATGTTATTGGTTATTTTGTTAAAATACTTTAACCAGTGTCAGAGTGTCTGAATAAGCCTGTTATCTGTGCGCTTCCCAATTCTACAATATCATAGAGCCGAGTCGCATGTGTGTGTCTGATTTAGGGTGTCGTCCGTGTGCGCCGCCCGCTTCTTTAGTGTCATAGAGCCATTTCGTTTCGTGTGTCTGACTAAGCCTGTTATCTGTGCGCCTCCCACTTCTGCAGTATCATAGAGCCGGCTCGCGTGCATGTTTGATTGGGCGTGTCGTCTGTGTGCGTGTGTCCGAATAAGCGTGTCGTCTGTGCGCGTGACCCACTTCTGCAGCATCGTAATGCCGTGTCGTGTGCGTGTCAGAATAAGCGTTTATGTGTATGCGCCCGCGACCCACTTCTGCAGGTGCAGCATGAGGAAGGCGAGCGTGTCCCTGTTGGGCCTGGGCAGCTGGCTGACCGCCTGCACCACGGCGGCCGTGGCGTCCGCCGGCTCGGGCACGCGCGCCGCCGCCATGAAGTCCGCCCACAGCGCGGCCGACACCAGCGGCTCGCGCAGCGACCGCAGGAAGTCCTAAAAATCATACAGTGTACCGAAGTTAAAGCCTACATAGGGACGACCCGAACGGCGGTGTGGGTTCGATCCCCACGACTCGAAAAATATTGTGTGATGTAGTATAGTGTCTAAGTATGTTTATCAGTTATCTAGTGCCCATACAAGCGTTGCTTAGATTGGGACTAGAGAATGTTGTGTACAAATGTGTATATAAAATATTAAATTATTTAAATATGTCACTACAGCAAACACCTCTGTACAGAGAGCGCAAGAAGTTTTTGTGATTTTAAGTGAGTAAAAGTAACAGCCTATACAAGTTCCAGTACTGCAACGGATTCCTCTGTACAGAGGGGTTAGGGCGGAGGGCGCTGGAAGTCTGAAAGTTTATGAGTAGAGTAAAATGACAGCCTATACAAGTCGGAGGCTATTAGGGCATAGTCCACCACGCGACACCACGCGACGCGGATTGGCGGACTTGACATATCTTCGTTTTCTTTAATATTTCCTAAATTATAAATAATTATTATAATTCATAAATAATCATTATTAATATCACCTTGTATAAGTTTGATTGTTAATAATTTCAATGGTTTCTTTTGCATGAATCATTCAACGCAATTTGTATTGTTCACAATGAAAGAAATAAAAAAAAAATACCTTCACACAGCCGCAGAGCACGTGGATGTCCTCCTGCGCCAGTTGCGGCGACCCGCAGCCGCGTAGGAACCGCTCCTGAAAAGGTGCAAGGATTGTTCATGGATTTATCCTAACTTATCTGTGTCCTTATGCAATTAATCCGCGGTGGTAGGCCACGCAGCCTCGGCTGTTGCACGAATGGACAGGCTCGTCCGGGTGAGTACCACGGCCTCACAGAAGGCCGGCGTAAAGTCGAAGTACAATACTTTCGCGTTTCTTTTGGTGAGTCCAATTTTCAAATGGTTGTCAACGCATCCGCAACCCTCGGGTGTCAGATGTTCATGGGCGCTTAACATCAGGTGAACAGATATCTGTATCCTTATGCAATTAAAGAGAGACAAAACAACTATACTCTTCATCATCATTTAAGCTTGTTTGAGTTCACTGCTGAACATTAGCCTTTTTATGTAAGAAGGTGGTAAGCACTCTGTTCACCTGATGTTAAGTGATAACCGCCACCCACGGACATTTGCAACACCGATAGGGTTGCTACCTTTTAATAAATTAAGCCACTCACTCATAATTGGGACCACTCACGCCGGTCTTCTGTGAGGTTGTGGTTATATGTGGTCTATTAAATTTGATGTAACGGTTGACGCGATTTAAAGTTCAATCGAAAGAAGACGAACGTCTAACGCCTCAGTCTACCCTGTGGCAATTCATTCTGTCAATTTTATCTTATAACTAGCTGCTGCACGCGACTAAGTCTGCGTAGAATAGGTTGAAGGCGTAACATTCAGACAGAAAGTAAATTATTGTAAAGTTTCATTAAAATCCATTCAATAGTATTTGCGTGAAGGAGTAAAAAACATCCATCCACAAATACAAAGTTTCGAATTTATAATATTACTAAGTGTGTTCTCATAACTCCGTCTTCGCGCAAGAGATAGGGTAACATTCGAAGATACATGGTTGGGACATTTTCTTTTCAAGTTTTGAGCAGCTTTATTCATCACAAACAAAACCAATCAACAGCAATCAAGAGCCGCTCTTTCAACAGACGGTGAAAAAACCCTGCCTTGAGTCGCTTCACGTCCTTGTCCACGGCGCTGATTCGGTAGATGCCTCGCTCGGTGAGGCCCCGCTTCTCCACCTCGTTGACGCAGTGCACCAGCAGGGCGGGAACCATCGGCGGGGTGCTGGGCGCGAAGTCCGCTATGCAGCCCTCCTGCTGACACAGCAAAATACATTCAGCACGATTTGTGACTGTGTTTTTATTGAGCCGCGATAGCTCAGTGTCCGGGCGCTCGCCTTTAATTATAGAGAGTTGCAAAGGGATGCATAAACTCTTTGAATTGAGCATTCTGATCATTAAAAAGATCATTGTGGCCAATTCAAATAGTAGAAACATCCTTTTGGCGAGTAAAATGAAATTTGAAAAGCCATTTGACAGCAGATTAGTTAACAACTACAGTGATCAGTGTTTCAGAAACCGGGCGTTAGGTTAGAAACATAATCCAGACCTACCCGTTAAAACTCTGGCAATAAAGTGTAATATTGCCAGGTTTCAACCGGCACAGTTAAGCGGATTTAATTTTATTTTGATAGAATTGTACTTAGTGGTTCAAATTTGATGGCCCTAAAGTTGTGATCATATTACATTCCTAACATGTAATAAAAAAATTACATATGATATATAAAACTTGATAGGGAGTTGTTATACATTAAGGGGGTTGTTATACATCCCGAGGGGGCGGGGCCTAAAAATCATTCAAAGTTGGCGGTAGGTAGGCAACCTGATGGGGCGGGGCCCGTCCTGGTGGGACGCAGGGCAGCGGCAGCAGCGCTCGGCACTCGGGATGCGCCTGCGCACGACACCACTCGCATTTCACGCCCACCTTCGCGAACTTGATCCTGAAACAGGACTCACGTTTAATCCGACTTTTTTATGTGAAAAGTTGACAAGCTATCAGGCAGCCCACCTGATGTTGAGTTATTACCGCTGCTCGTAGACATCTACAATACTTGACGGGGTGCGAATGCGTTGCTAACCTCTAAAAAAGTGGGCCCCGGTTACCTCACTCACGAGAGGTAAAGAGAAAGTATGTTATTCCGCTTCCGTAGAAGGAATAATATACTTCTTCATACTGGTCTACTGTGAGACTGTGGTACTTAACGTGATAGACATATATTTATTCATCTGGTGAGTGAGGTAGCCGGAGCCCAATTTTCTAAAGGTTGTCAACCTGCAACGCACCTGCACCTCTCGGGTGTAGCAGATGTCCATCTCTCACATAAAACAAAATACTGACGTTTTCCCGCAGGGGCCGCACGTCTCGCGCTTGTAGAAGTTCTTCGCGACGAAGTTGTGCTGCCTCAGCCTGGTGCGCGGCGAGGAGACGAGCGAGGGGGTGCGCTGCGGCGCGCGGAGCGGGGTCCCCCCCTCCCTCACGTCGCGCCCCTCCGACGCGCTCTCCGACTCTGAGGAGGACAAGGGCTGACGTCATAGACAGTCGACACATTACGTACGTCGGCTGACGTCATCAACACGTGACAAGCGTTGTCGTATTCCGGAATCGGGTGTTCGTTCCCCGGTTGACATCAGGCAGGTGGCCGTAAAACTCTTAGCCAATATCACTGAGCACATGATCGCATGTTGTTAGTAGTATTGGCAAGTACCGTATGGCCGCACCGGCTGTCCTAGCATCGGGCGAGAGGACTATATTCGCCCCGGAGTCGTGGAAGGACAGTTGTAACGTGGGATTGTCAGGAGGTACTTACCCTTGCTGCTCCTCAGATCCAATGCGGGGAACTTATAAAAAAATCGCACATAAAAATGATGATGACGTTCTTGGTATATTTCTGAAACTATCCTTTTGAATATTTCTGAAACTATCCTTTAGATGGAAGTCCAGGTTGTTTTAGGTAGACCATTTTAGATAAACCAAAAAAAAATAGTCTCAAGTTCTTGGCAGTTTGTGGGGAAGCCTATGTTCAGTGCTTACGGTCAAACAGGCTGAAATGATGCTGATGATATTCCTACCGCCGGTTCTTCAGTAGTAGTATCTTGACAATCGATAAGTATGTGTAATGCTTCTATATTGAGTAAAGATAATTGAATTTGGCATAGTCACCAGTTCTGGGCGGGGCTGATGGGGTGCAGTGCACCTCTATAGGGTGGGGGTGCGAGTTGGAGTGGCGGCCGGAGGACTTGCGCGGCGGTGGCGCCTCGTCACTACTCTCCGAGATCGGTTGCTGCGGATTACATAATTATATTATTTACCCGTTATTAGCGGGTAAAAGCGCTATCTACTACATGCAGGCAAGTACAAGTGTCTCTGTTGGCCATCTTTTCCAAATAATACTTATCAAGTGTCTAGGTGTTGATATACAACGTGGCGCTACTATCGCGACCATAAATAGACACAAATATAGAAGATAACTTTTTAAAATTGCATTAAACATTTACAGATTTAAACTTTTATTTAAAGATTTAAACATAAATATCTACAGAGTTATAAAATTTTCCAAAACAAACAATCTTAGAGCACACTACGTATAAAACTGTAACGTGAAGTTCATTTGTAAAGGTCACAAAGTATGGGTTATGAATAATAATAATAATAAACTTTGACTATGAATGGGTTGAATGAATTTTAAAGAGATAAAACATACTATTAGAAGGAGAGATTGTAATGCGATGCTGCGGCAACGAATCAAAAAAGTTCTGAATGTATGATGTTTTGTTTTACGTAAGGACGGTAGAAATAAAAAGGTATAACAATTAGAAAATAAAAGATGGCTCGTCGCTCTTACGAAGTTCTGTGGCGGTTTAAGATCCTGGCAGGTGGGTGCGCGCTCCAGTGTGAGGGTCGTTGTGGCAGTGGCCAGCACTTTTCCACCTTGCAGTTCGACGGTCTGAAAAAAAAAACCAAGTTTGAAATAATGAACATTTTTTCTAGTGTTATTATTTGCGCTTAAGATGTAGTTTAATATTTAAATAGCAAAGGTGACATCTCTATTTTCCACTTCAGGTTGCTAAAGCTATGTCCATGGCCAGAGTTCATGGTTATGGAAGGTTTTTATTCAAATGTATAACTACGTATTCGCTCACTTTAGTAGCGGATGATGTTGAAGAGCGCCTCTTCTTATTCGGGGGCGGTGGATCTCGCGCCGCCCAGCCTCCCCGCTGGACCCAAGAGCGGCGAGTGGACGCTAAAGAGAGGTCCAGGTCGTCCTCAGACCGAGAGTAGGACATCTCGGAGAGAAGAGTGCCTGTGGATGTTGTTGGAACCAGTTAGAAAGCTTTCTTCAGCAATTGTCGAAATTTTGATTGCAATTTAGAGAGAACATAACAGATTCTTTTTTTAAAGTTATACCATCATTTCGTAGTTATCTTGTCGCAATAGTAGATGGCTACCTCAATCTGAGGTGTTTCAGATATTTCTTCCTTACAAAAACGTTTGCCTTGTATTTATGTTCGGAGCACAACAAAGCATATCACCTCTGACATTTTGGTTTTTAGCTTTAGTAAATGTTGAAAATATTAACTTCTCTTGTGTTTGTCTAGGTCACAGACAAAAGAGTTTGTATGCATTTGAAAAAATATTTTCATTGCATTTTATTTTAAATCCGAATTGTAACAGGAAGGATGTTGATAAGAACAACTACAACAACAATAAATATCGTTTCTAGATAACTATAGTAGAAGTATTTCTGCGTAAGAAGCACTCAAACCACTTAAAAGAAACATCAATAACCATCTTCATATTTACCAAAAATGTTACCACTTCAAAAAAATTACCAAAAACGTTATTTAGCAAAAGCACTAATATCCTAAATCTCGTTTATTTGATACATAACTCGCAAAACATAAAGCTTCAAATACAAAAACATTAAATCACACTGAGGCCAGTTTTTAAGAAAAAAAAAGGGAATTATAATTTATATGTGGTGTAATATATAGTCATGCTCACCAATTATGTAAGGTTATACCGAGAAGCAGGAAACACCATGCAAAATTGTCCACACTTAATATATAATGTTAATACCACCTAATATCTCACCGGTTGAGTTGAGTTCAGGCACGCCAGTAAGCTTAGCATTGTGATCTTGCTGAGCGGTGCCATTGAGGAATGCCAGCTTTTGAAGGGTTTCATCGTTAAGTTTGGCACGGTTGTCGTTGAACAGAAGATCACGCGCCATGTCTAGTAGTTTGCTCTGCAGTAAAGATTAAATAAATTTCTACAAGGCAACAATGAATATTGTAATTTAGAATCAATATATTTGTGCAAGTGCATTTACATTTTACTACTATAAAACTAGCATTAGTCTGTTCACAAAACTTAAAATCATACACAAAACGTTTTTGTATTCAATAAATAGGCCAGACAAATTGGGGAGGCACTCTGCTGGCTACAGCTTCATAGTGTAAAGTATAAGTATTTCAGAAGTAGTTAACATTTTATACTATTTTGTTTGGTAACATTTAAATACTAAAATAGGTCTAACGTTTTTAAATACTGCTACAGCAGAGGGTTTGTGGACTTTTATTAGTGGTTCTACCACCGTTAGTTATTATCTCATAATTATGAACATCTTTAGAAGATCATAAGATTATATTTCTTATAATGTAAAAAAACTATTTAAAATTAAGTGATATTCACCTGTTCATTGTATTTCTTTAGATATATATTCTTCTCCCTTTTCTCTCCATCCAACATTTTTCTAACATGTGCGAATTTCGCTTCGGACTTTGCAAGTGTGCGATGAGCCTCATCCAATTCCTTTTGAAGCCTGTTCGCTTCCGCCTCTGCAGAGGCCCATTGGCTCCGGGCCCATTCTATTTGCTTTAGGAAAGCTAAAAAGCCTGAAAGTGTAAAACATAACCTTGTAGTACAAATTTACTTTTGTCTCATTAAATTTAAGTGGTGGTAAAATTGAATAATCTTTTTAACATTATGGACTTTACAAATATAATTACATAAATAATGTTCAAGAAAATTTATTCTTTGAACCACCTAATCTTCCAACAATTAATGCATATTGGGATTAAGATTAACACATGAAATGGCTATGGTTAGCCCAATTACAGCCAAGTTATGACAGTATGTATTAAAAACAATCTTTGTATCAATAAATTAAACTCTTATTACTTAAATGCTTTCATTTCTTTTCATATAAGATTTAAATCCCGGATAAAATTTGATTTAACATTAACTTCAGGCAATTTTTAATAGTTTTTTTTCCTTTGTGTACCGTTTTGATAAAATCTGTCTAATATTGGCATTGGAGAGAAGCACACCAACAAAGACTGTTGGTAGAAGGTACTTATATTCATGAAATGATTTTTATCAGTATGGGAATAAATGATGGACATGTAGTTTTGGATATCCTCACCTTGCTTTGGGATAAGGGTAAGAGAAAGAAGATGGCATAATTTCCGTCTATTAATAAGTAGGGTCACAAACTAAATCAATAAACAAACAAATATAGCTGAGAGCTACAAACATCTCATTTGACCTTGTGTTTGAAAGTGAAGGTAGTTTGCGTAAAACTAACACCTTACAAAACTCTGTACCCACCGACATGAATAAAAAAGTCTAACTTACAAAATACCGTGAAATACTTACATTCTTCCGTAGCCCCATCGTTAAGTATGTTATTTAAACGATTAATATCGTCAAACTGCGCCACCAATGAAAGAGCAATACTAGGTCCAGAGTCAGAGTTTTCAGAACTCATTTTGAACTTATACTATATTATTAGTACTTTTAAAAGAACACAAATATTAAATGTGTTAACAAATAATCACATTTCAAAAATAAAACTTATTACAAATAGTTAAACTACTAAATTAAAACTCTATCCCTACTTGGCAAGCCAAAAAATTAAATAACGGCCAAAGATCACAGAACCGTTAGCATTTGACGTTTGAGTTTGACGTTTTGTCAAACCTATATTTGAATATTAATGGCACAGATCTTAAATTTTGTACGTTCTTATTTTATTTTTAAGGCATATTGTTTTATCTAAAAAAAGTGAAAGTCAGATAACTTTCCTTGAATTTTGAATGCTTGGTCATATTTGTATGTTGAGCTTAAAGTATATTAAAATGTTTTCATTGTGCTTTATAATTAAACGTACTATTAGTCAAAGTTTAGTTTAGCATAATACATTTATGATAAATAGTGTTGAAGAAACTTAACAAATCTTTAAAAAGGATACACAAAATAATTATTTAAGCATTACGCTGTTAGAGGATAACACTCTCATTCAATGTACGTTTAAGTATATTTTTCAGTGTGGAAATAACAATGTTTTGTATTTTTGAACGTTATCCGTATGACAGTTGACATTTGTGCTACGGGAGGCCGGTTTTCTGATTTCTCAGTTGTATGCTGTCAAAGCGCGATGACGTTCGGCTGAGGACGGTGGTATTGTCGTGCGGGTCGTGTAGTCTAGCGTATTGCTATAACATAATAATTGCATTCGATTCTCTCGACGCTTAGATCAGCGTCGCGGTCGTCATGGCGGACGAGGAAAATAATTGTGATGATAGTGCTGGTGACTATAAGGCGGGGGAAGGTCTTCGATTGCGGGGCCGCAAAGGTGCCCTGAAAAAGAAGAATGTTTACCTCGTAAAAGATCACAAATTTATGCCGAGGTTCTTCAAGCAACCAACATTCTGCTCCCACTGCAAGGATTTTATTTGGTAAGGATTAAGAAGGACGTCGTAATATCTTAGCGCGCCTCGGACGAGTTAACACAATTGCTTATAGGAAAATTAAAAATAGTCTATTTGTTTACGATGTAAACGCGTGCGGTTTCCGTACGAGCAGTTTGATAAGACGGCTAAACACGGATATTATCTGCATAATTTGGTCAGTGGTGTAAATTGTTAGGCGATTTTTGACGAGATTGTTACAATATCTAAATTTGAGGATTTCAAACAACTTTCAAAAAAGGTAAAATAATTGCAGTGTTAGCTAAACTTTTTCTTCTTATAAATATACTACATGAAAATAAAAATTTCAAAATGTTTAAAACTAGAAGAATAGGTTTAAATAAGTGGTTATAATAAAATTATGAAAGTTATAAATTTGAAATTACTTTTATTTGCTTGCTCAATTGACCATAATCTTTCATCTCTTCTATCTCTTCTACCTTAGTTGAAAGAAATGTCTCTATTGTAATTCCTTAATGTCAGGTATCAAATTTTCTCACAATATTTCACATAGTTGTGTTTATTATACTAAGGTTAATAACACTGCGGATAAAATTATTTTTAAAAGGATAATATTAAATAGTCTGGCTGTCTGGGAAGGGCTATGTTCAACGTTGGATTCAGACAGACTGAAATGATTGTAATGATGAGTCTAGAATAAAAGAGAATAGTTGTAATGTTTGTATGACATTTTTTGTGTGTGTGTTTTTTTAACAACTAGTAACCTTGTACACATTGATAATTAACATTAGTAATTTTTATGTCTTGATGTTTTTGTTATTGTTTTATTAAAATATGCTGAATGTTATAATACATATACAGAGTGTATTTTATAATATTTTTTGTGACATGACAAGCACTTTTAGTAATGTTTTAAAACATACCTAGTTTTAATAGGCAACATGGCCTTAATAAAAAAGTCATTGTATCCATAAATGAAAAAAATTATGATGGTTAAATTGGTGTTTGTACTACATACCACTCTGCTAAAAGTTCTCAAATTTTTATTTTCATTGAAAATTAACAAAAGGTGATAAAGTAATATACAATTACTGGATTAAATTCAAATAAGAGCATAAATTGAATAAAATATCCTGTAATAAATCATATTTAAATAAGTTATGATTTATCATTATAAAATTATAATTCCAACTGAAAAAAAAAAAACTAGTTTAACATTGCACTAATAGATGGCGCAGGTAGCCAAATAATGCTAGGTCCTTGAAATTTATACACGCTGATATCACGGACCAGAAAAATAACAGATTGATAGCAAATTGTTGTCACAAAATTCAAAATTTGTATAAAAATTACAAAAAATGTTAGTTCTTAAATCATAATAATTATGTATGAAGTAGGAAATCGTATCGGGATCGCATGGCTACTGCCATAGTTTCTCTGTGTACAAACCCTGTATCCCAACCGGTTACCATCCTTTTGGCAACTAAAATGAAATTTGAAAACCAATTGATAGCTGATTAGTTGACATCTACGATGATCATTGTTTCAGAAACCGGCGGTTAATGTTGTAATTTCTTCGTTTAGGATATCGTTTTCCTGGCGATATTAAAGGCGTGTTCATTTCCAATTTTATGTTGCGAACGTAATTCAACTTTGTTCTCCGGCCAGTGTGCGTTAACCAATTCGGTCGTGGTAACACGAGCCCGGCGCAAAATTGGTCAAGCGTGTTTGCGAATAATTACGGCCCACTCGCGCCATAGTTAACATCATCCGGTAAAGTAGATGTATAAAAAGCCGGCCAAGTGCGAGTTAGACTCACGCACGAAGTGTTCCGTATCATTATCTACATATAAAAACGCCAAAAAAAAACCATGTCTGTAGTGTGGGAGCCCTACTTAAATATTTTTATTCAGTTTAATTACTAAATATTCTATATATCATCATTTGTGAAAAATTTCAACTGTCTAACTATGATGGTTCATGAGATACAGCCTGGTGGCAGACGGGCAGACAGACAGACGGCGAGGTCTCAGTAATAGGGTTCCATTTTACTCTTTGGGTACGGGACCCTAAAAATGTATGGTCTGTTTCCCGATCCAAAGAAGTAGTTTATACATAGGCAGCTAGGTTGGATATGGGGTCGTCAAGAATTAGATTGCAAATCGATTCAACCGCCTACTAACAAAGTAACTCCTATAACTTATAACAGTACTAGCAGCTGCCCGCTACTACGTCTACGCAGACGTAGTCGCGGGCAAGAAATAGGCTGAAGGCGTAACATTCAGACAGAAACACAGATATACATAAAAATATGCCCATGTCTTATTCTGATGTATAAGCGATATTATTGTAAAGTTTCATTAAAATCCATTCAGTAGTATTTGCGTAAAAGAGTAACAAACATCCATCCATACATACAAACTTTCCCCTTTATAATATTAGTAAGGATGTTAATTAGCAAGAAAGCAGAAAGATCAACTGCACCGAATTAAGTATGTGCATGTATGTCCTACACTTTATATGAGGAAGTGGCTAGCGAGCTGGCGGTTCACCTGATGGCAATTGATAATCGCCGCCCATTGATCGCCATTTGCAGCACCCGTAGCGTTGCAGCTGCGTTGCCACCTTCTAATAAAGTGGGCCCGCTATCTAATTCATGGATGAAACGCAGAAGCACAACACTTCGCGCCGCTCTTCTGTGAGTACGTGGTACTTACGGACGGCCCTGCCCATTCGTGCAACAGCGAAGACTGTTGCGTGCGCCTACCACTAATAAATCTGCAATCGTCTGCTATATTCATCGCGAAAGGCTTCTAACATGAAGGGAGCTTATTTAGATATAGGTCACAGTAAAATATCATTTATTGCTCCATTCAAAAGAATGTTGCTTTTTTATATGAAAAGTTGCCAAACGAGCAGACGGTTCACCTGATGTTAAGTGAATACCGCCGCCCATGGACATCTGCTACACCCGGGGGTTACAGATGCGTTGACAACCTTTTGAAAATTGGGCTCCGGCCACCTCACTCACCAGACGAAACGCGAAAGTATTTGTCATACTTGCACTTTACGCTGCTCTTCTGTGAGGTCGTGGTACTTACCCGGGCGGGCCTGCCCATTCGTGCAACAGCCAAGGCTGCTGCGTGGCCCTACCACCGTAGAACTCGACCGTGTGTAACTTCCCGCAGGTACTTTTGTTAATAAACTATTATATTTATTGCTTTTTTGTTCTTAATCACTACGTAGTCAAACAGTAGTAAAACAAAGTCGTCTCGCTGTCTGTCTGTCCCTATGTATGCATAGATCTTTAAAACTGCGCAACGGATCCTGATGCGGTTTTTTTCACTAGATAGAGTGATTCAAGATGAGGGTTTGTATGTACAATACATTGCACCCGTGCGAATTTGGGGCGGGTTGCTAAAACCCTATATATGCGACGAAAGACGACGAGGTTTTGATGAGACCAACTGGCATAGTTACGAGCGACACACTTTTCCTTTTACAGATAGCCTATACGAGTCCATATGCATGGACCATTGTCCCGTCAATAGCCTACACGGCCGCACGCACGCACAATGGGCACAATCTAGAATCTGAATAGAGCTGATATCGAACACATTCCAACGCTCCGAAAGCGTTTATTTTTAATCGTTAATATCTCGTACGCACCGTGATAAATGGCGCATTTAACGCCCAACCGAGCTGGCAGGTATTAGAGAAATACATTCTTGTGATATTGTCGCCCCGCGAATATTGCGGATTCGAATTTCGAACGCGATAACTTTTATTTTATTGAGCCAGCCATTGAACACTGGCCAGTGTTCTACTACTATCGCGGTTTGTCAAAAAGCGATGTGGTAGAAGACGGTGAAGGCATTTAATTCAGTCTATCGAATATGAGTTCTTTAATGGAGTATGCACGAATTTTTTTTTTTTATGTGAAAAGTTACCAAACGAGCAGACGGTTCACCTGATGGTAAGTGAACACCGCCGCCCATGGACATCTGCTACACCCGAGGGTTAAAGATGCGTTGACAACCTTTTGAAAATTGGGCTCCGGCTACCTCACTCACCAGACGAAACGCGAAAGTATTTGACATACTTCCACTTTACACTGGTCTTCTGTGAGGTCGTGGTACTTACCCGGACGGGCCTGCCCATTCGTGCAACAGCCGAAGCTGCTGCGTGGCCCTACCACCGTTTTAGAATTAATTAATTTTAGAATTTTTTTTCGGTGTGTATAGGGTTTTCTATGAGGTTGACCGATTGTCATTATAACAGTTCATGCATATCTATCAATTCAGACACGGAAATAGACGTTAAAAAGTAAAATTTGCTCAAACAATCGTTAAATGTAATTTGTATATTATTTATTTTATAGGTAATACTATACATTGTTAGATAAAACTAATTTTACGGGGTTATTTTCTAGTTTAGGTTTTATTTTAATTTCGGACGATTTAAACCCTTTTCGGGGTCCATGGTCACAGGATATACATATGTCTTTTTCTTCATAAATTTTTTTCGATTTACGTAATAGGAAATTACAGTATTCGTAAGTCTTACAGGGTGCTTGGAATTAATTTGATTTATTGTACAATCTCAAGGTTTTTAATCAAGAAAATATTTTTTTATTAAAAAAAAACAACAGTCTAAAGATTCGGCTTATGTTCTTTAATTTGTTACACCAATTTATCAGACTGGCAGATAATGTCAGCCGGCTGTGGCCGCCGCTCTTTGAACGCCCTCCGTGGCAAAAGCAATAAAGTTTAATTAAACGCATTGTCTTCCTTCTGTTCTCTAATATTTGTTTAGAATAATTTCTATAACGAAATAAGACAACATTAAACACGATATTGTTTTCTATTCACGCTAACAATACGCATTGTTTTAAACGAATTGTTTTACGGATTTCATCGCGTCCCTTTTTGTTCTTCGTATTCGAGATTCGAGATGTTTCGAAAACTTTTCAGCGTCCATTTATCAAGAGGCGGTCTGAGTTGTTTATCTTTTTACTACAACACTTAT